ATTTGTTTGCTGCATGCATACATTTATGGTGTTTGTGTAACATTACGTTTCCCCATTTCGTTTTTTTTAAGGGGGGATTTATTGTTTGGGAAAATGTCAATATCTCAGGAATAGGAAGTGCTATTGATTGATTGAAAAGTTTATTAACAGCTTGTATATTGGGTACAGTACAGTACAGCTCAAAACATACAATTGTTAAGGGGATGCAGACCAGAGAAAGACTTTCGTCTTGTTTACATCAGGGTCCCCCATTTCCAATTCATCATATCATTTAAGACATACAAGACATATTTGACATACAGATGGCTTATTTATATAACCGAGCTATCATTTAAAAGCTGATTCCAGCAACTCCGATAGATCAGTAAATACAAAGTTGAATTCCCCTCCTACCTGTTTACAATAACCTGTCTCATTAACCCGCTGTGTAAACCTCCAGTTGTTCCTACTGCATTTTATCATGAAATACAAGGCACAATAATGTGTCGTCAGGAAAGAACTACAACTCCCAAAGTGCCCTGGGCCACAGCCGCGTAGGTGTTTCCGGTGTCTTATAACATTTTACTTCCTTCCACACAGACCGACACGAACAAATCGAGAAAGAAGACGTCGCTAACTTTAAAATACCGTCGCTAACGGTGGTGTTTTGATCTGGTAGTTCGTAACATTTCCACTCTAAAAAATGCGCCATGTGGCGAGTGGTGTGTAAGAAGTGAATCATTGTTAAGAAACGTAGATTGTAACGTGTAGGCCTCCGAAGAAAGTTTGGTCGAGGGCCTGTAAACAACATGTCCTCCGCCTCGCAGCCTTCCTCCAGACGGCAATGGTGCTACCTCTGCGACCTGCCGAAGATGCCCTGGGCCATGCTGTGGGAGTTCAGCGAGGCTGTGTGCCGGGGATGTGTTAACTACGACGGGGCAGACAGGATAGAGCTCCTCATTGAGACTGCCAGGCAGCTGAAGAGCACACACGGAGTTTTAGACGGCAGGTCCCCCGGTCCCCAGCAGGGTAAACCCAGCTCGGTCGGGCCCCTTGATGCAGGGCGGCAGCATGGAGAGCGTATAGAAAGGGGGAGGGGTGAGTACGGGGTGTCTTCTCGTCTCCCAAATGGCCTGCACAGAGCTGACGATGTGGGCTCGGAGGGCAGCAGACAGAGCCCGAACACCCGCCGGGCTATAGTCGGGGCAGTTCCTAGTCTTCATGGAGCAATATCTCATGCTTTGATAGCTCAGGGGTTAGTAGCAGCCCCTCATGGGCTTCTAACCCCCTTATCAGGCTCCAGGGCTGGGGGCACACCAATTGCAGCTGGCCCTATTATGGGAGACGGTGGCAGAAGGCAGGTTGTGTCCCTGGGTGTGGGAGCTAGCACCTCAGCTCTGGTGGGTATAGATCCTGCAGTGTGGAGGAACAATGAGGTGATGGCAGAACTGAATGAGGTGGCTCGCAGCCGGGTTGAAGGCTGGCCAAATCGCCCCAAAGCAGTCAGGGATGTTCTTGTAGCTCTCAGCAGCTGTGTCCCCTTTAATGTGCGCTTCAGGAAAGACCATAATCTGATGGGTCGTGTTCTGGCCTTTGATGCCAGCACAACTCCAGAGTTTGAGCTGAAGGTGTTTGTGGAGTACCCAGCTGGCTCTGGAATGATCTTCTCAGGAGTCCCTGACCTGGTCAGGCAGATGTTCCGTGACTCAGCCAAAGATGCAGGTAAAGCAGTGAACTCTGGGCTACGCTATGTGGAATACGAGAAGCGGCAAGGCACTGGAGACTGGCGTGGGTTGTCTGAGCTGTTGAATGATGGTGTGCGAATGTTTAAAGAGCCCCCCATTCCAGAGGTCCTGCCACAGCCAGATGCAGGTTTGCCTATGGCAGCAGCTGGACGCCCTGCAGCAGCAAAGAACACCACCCGGCGTCGCAAGGCTTCTCCGGGCTCTGAGAATGGAGAGAGCGAAGGCAGGCCTGATCACCCTGCGAGAGAGCCCTGGCCACGAGGTGCTTACTCAGGCATGGAGCCTCTTCCTGGCATGGCTGCCCCTCAGGAGGGTCCACCCCGTCTACACAGCCAGCCCTCACCCATCTCAGCGCTCATGGGAGTCGCAGACAGCCTGAGCTCCAGTCAGATGGCCAGAGATAGCCCCAGCATGTCTACAGCCCATTCCTCCTCAGCTGGGCGTCCCACCAGCAGCAGCCCATCCACTTCCTCCACCTCCGTCTCCCAGGCAGCCTTGGGTCAGGGTTTGAGTGCGGGGGGGCCGAGCACCAACGCCAGTGCTGGTGAGTCTACGAGCAGCTCTCAGGGCACCCTGCTGTGCTGCACCCTCTGCAGAGAGCGCCTGGAGGACACTCACTTCGTCCAGTGTCCGTCTGTCCCGCACCACAAGTTCTGCTTCCCCTGTACTAGAGGATTCATCCGCAGCCAGGGTCAGGGTGGGGAGGTGTACTGCCCCAGCGGAGAGCGCTGTCCCCTGGCTGGTTCCTCGGTGCCTTGGGCTTTCATGCAGGGAGAGATCTCCACCATCCTGGCCGGAGACGGAGACGTGACAGTAAAGAAGGAGAGCGACCCTTGACGTCTCCATCCTCTTGTGGTGAATGGTAAGCGGAAGAAGAAAAAGGTTATTTTCTTTGTAAATCATGGTCAAATATCTTTATTTTATCAGTTAACACCACAGGGATGAAGACAATACATTGAATAACAAAAATCTAAACTCCACAATAATAACTTTTCAGGTCATTTTTGAGTCCTTATGCCCTCTTAGTTTTATCAGCATAATAGTTCAAGGGGACGTCATCTTCTAAACACAACAGAATACACAAAGGGGATGAGAGTCTTGAGAACCATTGACAGAAGTGTGGTCAGATTGTAGCTTTTTACAAAAGATAGTCTGTTCTGTGTAAAGAGTCACTCAAATATATCTTAAAACACACAGATGAATAACTTATTGCAACATCTCATCACAATGCTTAGTATTATACAAGACTCTCAGTTAGCAGCTCTGGTAACAGGGAAATTAACATTGCATATATTTGTTTATCCTTTTTAAGAAACATGATCTCTACTAACTTTTACTCATCAGCTTGTTCACACATGCAATGTAACTGACATTCCATAACACATCACTAATAACAGATATCCTTTTTTCTCTTCTGCAGTTTGTGAAGCAGAAACATATTACATGTTATTTATTTAGAAATGTAGAACCCATGGATTTAGCACATGATCACCTCTTTACTATTAAGACATACATCTAAGGAGTAGTCTGCCATGGTGTCAAGATGAATCTCAATAGTTTGATGCTGATTTAGAGATCATATTAAGGCAGGAAAATAAAAAAATATACATGAAACGGCGGTAGAAACAACCATTTCACCATGTTGTATATGTTATTTCTGTAGTAGTACAGGGTTCTGAGCTGCATGTGAAACACTTCCCTCAAATTAGCCATGAGGATTATGCACCAAATGAAATGTAAGACTTTTTAGGATTTCTTTGACAAGTATCACATTGTTTTGTCCCTTCCAGCTATAACTGACAATCATTTCCATAATGTAATGCAAGTATTCAATCATGTGACCTGTACCTAGGTGAGCAGCAGGAAGTTGTTGGATGAATGAACCTTTTTGTTTCGAAATTCAACGTTAAAATGAGTCCATGCTCAGGCTTCTGATGGTGCTGACTGGAACTCCACACCAAAGAATTGAGCAGTGCTCATTTACAGTTCAGAGATGCATAATGTCTAATAAAATATTCGCAATTTTTGTATATAAATTGTTAGATTATTTAGAATATTTATTGACATTTTTGACCTCCTAGCTGTATGTCGGTAATTTCAATAATTTATTATGAATAACGTGATCCAGATTAGCAGCAGGACATTGATGGAGGGTTAAACCAATGTTTTATTTAATTAGTTGCTAAATTGAACTGTACTATAAGCTTCTTACAGTGTGTAGCTAGCAGCAGTGACGGTGAAACTACAGTTCTGATGTTGTCGACTGAACTCCACCCTCAAGGACTGAGCAGCCTGAGTGCATAGATTGTCAAATGTCCTATGGCTTTTCACAAGACCAGAAAGCTGTCCAGTGTTGCCCTACTGTTTATTAACACACCTTTTTTCTTCCTTTTCCACAGTGGATCAAACACTTTGAAAGCACTTCCCTATAATCTCAAGCAGAGGGCCACTGTGGCTGCAGCTCATGGTGTGTGCCTCTGAGAACAGAAGAACTCTGAACCCCAGGAGAACAGCTACACACACTGTTAACTAAGGACACACCGAGACTCACTGATGAGGAGAGGGGCGTGTCCTCTGTCAGGACTCGTCACAGCTGGATCCTGACCAAACCTCTCCTCTCCATCAGGCCTCGCCTTCAGAGCCCAGGATAGAAAGCACACGCTTGTTTTAGGAATGACAATCTATTTGGTCTTTCATTTGTGTTACTGTTATACAAGTTGCATACTGTCCTAAACATATGGGTGACAGCGATATTGACAGATTGTTGGACATTTTCAAAAAAACAAATGAATGTTCAAACTGTGGCAAAACCATTGGGTCCTTCAAGCCAAGGATTGAAAAAATGTAATCTCACATCATGTCTCTTAGGTATTCTCCTTATATTGTATGTCAAAAATGTGAATTTACTTTCAATATGGCTATGTAATTTCTATTTTTGATACAATACAAATTTATATGCATTTGTTTATAGTGATAAGAAGACCAAAGATGGCTTCCTGCTCAATGTAATTTTATTGTGTTGTAGCTGTATATGCTGTACTCACTGATAACCTTGGCATTGGTCACTAATTTGTTCAACTATCACAGAGGTAAGCTTGTTTTGTCTATTTACTTTTAGAATGAAATGTATGTTAAGATAATTAGCACCACAATCTTCAATGGTTAAACCACATACTCGTGATGTTAACAGGTCAATTCTACAATAAATTACAAAATAGTCATCGGTCATAGCTGGCTTATTCTTTGAGGCTCAGATTCGCAGAACATTATGGAGACTTTGGTAATTTCATAAACCTTTATTTGATAAATATTTCACAAAAGAACATGAAAACCCCACACCAGATATTGTATAAGCCCTCGAGAATGCATCAATGTCCCCTAACCAGTGAGTGAAAGTGTGTAATGTGCAAAAGTTATTTAAAAGTGGTTAGATATTCTAAATATAAAATGCCTAATTAATCATAATGGGCAGAACAAACTGTAAAATATAATATTGTAAACACTCACAGCTAATATCACACAATAGATCTGTAAACATTATTTTTACAAAAGATAGTGGTGTAATGCCTTGGTTCCTGAAATGTGGTAACTGAAAAAATATTGTTCACACCCCTTGTTTTGATTATACAACACCAAGGCGGCCGGTGGTCAGAGTGGTTCAGATGGGGCACCCGGTGTCCCCCAGGGCCTCCTTAGCTCCCTTCAGGGTCTCTCGCTTCACGCATTTCCAGTAGCCGGAGAAGCCACTCTGGTGCTGCACCTTCGGGCAAGACAGAGTTCATCACATCACACTGAAACTTTAACAGCAATCTGAGCACAAAAAGTTGGTGCAGGAATGAGTCCTTAATCCCAGAAATTAGTTAGCATTTTCAACCGTGAATGTGTTTTTGTCAGATGCCTGAAAGAAGGTCCATGGTTAACACAAGCTTAAAGGTCCCATGTCATGCCTTTCTGGTTATTACCCGTCCCCTTGTGTGTTATGAAGCTTTTTCTGCATGTAAACGGTCTGCAGAGTCACAAACCCTCAAATTACACCCTGTAGCGAGTAAAACTCTAACACAGAAAAGACCTGTCTATGCTGCCCCAGAACGCCTCGTTGGAGATTTCTTTTTCCATTTGTTTCTTCCGGGAACCAAAATGGACCAATCCGTGGAGCTCCTCACACACCAGGAGGGGTGGGGACCTTTAGCCTAATTGTTCAACCAACAGGGAGTCCCCTGGTTTGTAATAGACGAGTTGGAATCGCGGAGAAATGCTCTCCGCAGACCCACTCTCACAGCGTTTATAAACCTTTTTATAGACATTCAGCTATAAAACAAGTTTTATAGCTGAATGTCTTGTGATCATTTTAAAGTTGGAATGAAGTCTCTAACTGAAAGGATGTGGAAGGAGAAGCATTTGGCGCAAGATGTAGGTAAAAGGATTTGAAGGTTCCTCCCATTGACTTCCATGTTTAAAAAAAAGTTTTAAAAAGCTGAATATAATATTTTGAAAAAGTTGAAAGTTTCCCATCGATTGCTGAAAAGGCTGAATAGTTTGATATTTGAATGGTTTCTGTAGCTGAAAGTATGCTGAAGTTATGGAGAGCCAAAGTATTGGCTGAAATAAGGATAAAGATTCGAAGAGCTATAGTGTGAATGCTGTAAACAGCATTCACACTAATTATCCAATTGAAGGCTCTTACAGATTTGCTTAGTTAAATCCAGTAGGTGACTTTTTTTTTGGATGGCTATTGCACATATATATATATATATATATGAATATAAAAGGATGAACGGGCTCACCTTCAGGCCGCGCCGTATTCTGTCAGTCATCACTCCCATGAACTCCTTGTGGCTCAGGCACTTATCTCCATCCATATCAAAGAGCTTGAAGACAGTATCCAGAACATTGTCAGACAGGTCGTGGCCTGTGGCGATCCTCACTGCTCGTTTGAACTGGGCTGCAATGAGAGGAAGGAAAATTGTGATCATCTACTGTCTGCAGTCTGAGAGAGAAATACCCACATGGTAATGAAGAGAGGCGTTACCCATTCCAACAGGGCGGTTGGTTCCAGTGACCAGTTTCATAGAAAAGGAAAAATCCTCCAGATTGTTGGTGAACAGACAGAAGGCTTTGAACTCCTCGAAGGTGATACTCTGCAAGACAACATTTCAGTTAACCAATAAACTAGATTCAATCTTTTCACAGCATCTTTGTGATGAAAGTCCTCTCACCTGGCCAGCAGGGATCCTCTTCCTCATGTTCTCCCAGTACGCCTCGTTGTCTTCTTCGTTGGTGTAGTGTAGCAGCCACTCAGCGAAGTCTTCTCTCCTCATGGTGTCCATACCTTTGGAGAACTGCAGGAACTCCATCTCCTGGACTTCAGCCTGCAGGTCTACCATGAACCTGAGGACACGGGGGAGAGGTCCTACTGAGGTTAGTGAGGAATGTGGTCACAACTATACCAACATCACTTTAAAGAAAGCCAAATACAGTTGAAAATGAATCCATTCTTTACAATGAAGTCTATTTTATCCCTTATTATATATGATGGAGTCCAACATCTGACAGAACTAGATTAATATCATAAGGAAGAATGATAGGCTGTTTCTGTTCTGTTGTACAGCGGCTTTCACTATTTTATAAATAGCAAGGTTTTCCTGGATTTAGATACATGCTTCTAAATCAAGGAAATGCTCGAATGAAACCGACTTGTTTAGCAGCAATGTAACTTAAAGGTGGGGTAGGTAATTTTGGAGAAACCAGCTCGAGTGCGCTAGAATTTGAAAATACACAACCGGAAAAAATCTGCCACTTCCTTACAGAGCCCCTCCTCCAACACACACGAACGTGCACATGACCAATGAGGGCACGAGATAAGTTTGTGCACAGATGGAAGGCTGACAGGCAGGTAGGCCATCCAGTTACTTTAGCCGGGCTGGCTAAAATGATTGGTCGTACTTTTTACAGTACTACGGCTTCCACAGATGACATTTTGTTATGGATTTTTTGTCAAAGCACTTAAGATATTCATTGCTATCGGGATGTTAAGAGCATTCCATGGAATATAACAAAAAGTGTATCTCGAGCTGGTTTCTCAAACTCACCTACCCCACCTTTAAGTGGCTTCATGTTAGACGTCCCCCTATTAACGTACTGCAAAATAAATAGAGCCCCGTAAGTGTAAGGCAATTATTTCCCAACTTTTATTATATACACCTCGGTCCGGAACCTCAGTGACCCTAATGGAAGGTTTAACCACTTTAACTACCTTTAAGTACACTAAGGCTGGAAAGCAAGTACAATCACATCACCAACATTACATTCATCACCACATACAACTTTTTCTTAAATGTATCTTGAATGTATGAAAAGTTTCTACTTTTGTTGCTAAAACCTTGAATTAATTGACTGTAATACTATTATATACATTAGTGTATTTTAAGTTACACAAGTTACTCGTACAATCAATTTAGGTACATGATTCCGTATTCTGTCAACACTGCAGACATTTGCAGTGTGTACCAGTGAAGACTCACACACACTGTAATGCAATGAGTGTGACTGCGTTTCTGTACCTGTGGAAGTCCTGATACTGCAGCTTGTTTTCTCCTCCCTTGCCAAAGAAGTAGGCCTGCAGAGTCGTGTTCACACCTTCCCCTTCTTCCACTGCTTTCTGTAGACATCCAGGGAATGTACAATAAGCAGACATTACTCTCCAGTGATGCTGAAGTTGATACCGATCCTGCTGAGCTTAAAGGGAATATGAACACCCACCTCTGTGCCTTGAGGAGCTCTCTTTTTACTGGTCCCAATGATTTTCTTCAGCTTCAGAAAAAACAGAACAGAAATATTAAGATATAGCTACTGAAATACATTTTATCAAAATGTCAAAATCCGAACAAACATAATTCTTCAATGTAAACTACCTAAAATAATAAGAGTATGAGAGATATAGCCTTCATATTCGTCACACATCAGACACTAAAGCAAATCAGAATAACAATCACAACCAGTTTTACACATACGAGGAATTTGCTTTGGTATAAGTAAATTCCTCGTATGTGTAAACCTACTTGGCGATGACAGTCCATGCAAAGCTTCTCTTTAATTGTCCTTTAGACTTATGTCACAACATGAAAATATGACACAAGGTGCATAGCGTGCCAACATGCACTCTAGTCGCCTTGGTCCGGGCTAGAATTAGCACACTTTAAAGAGTCTTCTCACGCCGCCAGGTTGGAACAGCTACAAAAATGTCCTGTGACTTTAAATAAATGGATCACTGAGAGGGGCCGTTTCTCAATGTCGAGTAAAGCTGCTGCAAAGCCACTATTTCAAGTATACTACGTCATCGAGTGGCGCCAAAGGACTGTTTAAATGCCCAGCATTCGGCGCCACTCTATGACGTAGTATACTTGAAATAGTCTTAAGATGGTGCTCACATGATCTTGATTTCCCCCCGAGCAAGCTAGATACAACATTTAAAGGTTGGGCCAAACATGGCCTTACTTCATATTGCACATTTTTCAGCAAAGGAACCATGATCGATTTTCAAACACTAAAAAAACGATATGGATTGAATAACGGTACGCCACTACTTAAATAGTTCCCTGTTCGACAGCCAGAAGGCCCTTGAAAATCCTTTATTAATAGTTTTCACCAGTGCATACACATCAGACACAGGGATGAAAGTAATCTCAAAACTTTACAAAGCTCTTCAAGATATTAAAAAGGAAAATACTTTCTATATAAAACACAAATGGGAAAACGAAACCAAAAAAATCATCCCTGACGAAGTCTGGACAAATTACTGTACTTTTCAAAGGAAGATCTCTAGCTCAAGCACCTATCGAATGTTTAGTTGGAAGATGCTGAGCAGGTACTTTTTCAGCCCTGCTCAGTCATCACATAATCTAGGGCCCCCCAGCTGCTGGAGGAAATGTGGTTCTCAGTTAGCACATCACTACCATTTGTTTTGGGCTTGCCCTTTAATAGTAACTTTTTGGCAAAAGTTAGTACTTAAAGGTGGGGTATGTAATTTTGGAGAAACCATCTCGAGTGCGCTAGAATTTGAAAATACACAATGAGGGGACGAGATAAGTTTGTGCACAGATGGAAGGCTGACAGGCAGGTAGGCCATCCAGTTATTTTAGCCGGGCCGGCTAAAATGATTGGTCGTGCTTTTTACAGCGCTACGGCTTCCACAGATTACATTTTGTTATGTATTTATTGTCAAAGCATTTAATATATTCATTGCTATCGGGATGTTAAGAGCATTCCATGGAATATAACAAAAAGTGTTTCTGAAATCGATTACGGAAAAAATCCCATTAAACTGGGACGAATTTCAATTTGGGCTCGTACATTTAACCACAAACCTCAAAACAAAACAATTATTTGGAATACTTAATGTTGCAGCAAAAAAAGTAATTACTAGAAAATGGCTCAAAGCGGACATTCATTCTCTGGTACGACAAAATCCATGAAATTGATGTTATGGAAAGAATCACTTTCTCAATGAGGCTTCAGGAAAACACATTTGAGGAAATATGGAAAAAGTGGAGAATTTACATATCCCAAAGACGACCATCCCTTGTTTGACTGTGTTTCTATACACCGATTGAATGTATATGTATAGGTGTGTATGTATGGACACATGTATGTCAGAGTTCCCGTTAGCCGGTAATTACCGGACTATGACCGGTAAAATATGCTGAAGACCGGCAAATCTAAATCTCTCCGGTCAAAATGTCCGGTCAAAATAATTTTCCCTTAGCGCAATACCGTATCAGTTGCGCCACTTATGTGACAGACAAGAATAGTATGTGACAGACAAAAATAGTCAATTCTAATGTCTAACACTTAATGTGGAGAAAGAGATGTCCTGTATGGGTTGATTGTGCGTTGATCTGTTGGTAATGCCTCTGGGTTCGGTGGGCATGTAAACAAATGCATAATGCTGCGCTATACTTTGTGGCCTCACCCGGTTGCATAGCGACGCTTATTGTTTAGGTGTCTTTTAACAAGCAGGTAGTCATATCATTAGCTAGAACTAGCTAGATCTGGACATAAACGCGAGTAAAGTCTAATCTGATGGGAGAGAGAGATCGGCTGCTGCTGACAAGTCGACACGCAGCTCTGCATAATCCCCTGCAGCGGCGAGCAGAGCAATACACACTTCAGGTTAGAACATCACACGTAGCTATTTTAATTACCTCTCAAACTACCTAAACTAGTTATAGATATGTTTAGTTTTACTGTCGGGTCACTCATTACTGGATCCGCGAGCTGCATGATACTGACGGGCTGTCAGGAGAAGGAGAGAGCGCTCCGTTTATTATTCCCACGTTTTTGTAAGTTACTTTATACTTTTGAATAATGTAGTTAATCGACTATAATTAGTTTGTTTAATATCGAATCATATCAATTTGTTTTAAAGCTCAATAAATAACAAAGAAGACCTTTGACCGGCACTTTTCTCATTTTGTCCTGAAGATTTCAACTTTAACGGACATGTTGACCGGCAAAAAAATATTCTAACGGGAACTCTGATGTATGTGTGTATGTGTATTGTATGTATATATGTGTATTGTATGTATATATGTATGTTGATATGTATGCATATGTACATGTGTAGACATTTGCCATTTCAAACAACCCCTGTGTACTTTTTCGTTTTTATTTTATTTTGACTAATTTTGTTTGCTATTTCATTTGTCATTTTCGGGTCTCGAAAAATATATGATTTGAAAAACTGTACTTTTAATATAATGTGACCCCAAATAAATAAAGAATAAAAAATAAAAATAAATAGTGGCTCTGCAGCAGCTTTACTAGACATTGAGAAACAGCCAGGGTCTGACTCAGGCTGCAGAGAGGCATTCACATGACAGAGGACAACAATAGAGTTTATTGCAGTGCAGCTCTCCCTCACCTTCACATGGGGCCGTGGTCCATACTTACGAGTGTGGAGCATCAGTGCTCTACGCAGCATTAAAGGTGGCAAGATTTTGACATTTAAATCCACACACGCAACAGAATCACATTTTGTCTTTGCAAAGTGCCCTCCCACGATTTATCCATGTAAACCAATCTGTGTTCTGTTCAGTATTACTATCACATTATTTAAATATTTTCAATTAAAAAAAATATATATATATTAGATGTCTTACCTTGAGAAATTCCTTTTTGTCCACCTGCTCATTGCCGTCAACATCAAGCATTTTGAAAGCAATATGAAATCCTATGTGTGGCTCTGAAACAGAAATGCAGTCAATAATCTGAACTCAGTCTGAATATTATCACAGGAATCAATGCACTTAGTAGGGCAGAGTAGCATTTCTCAACACAACCTGGAGGACAGTGTTGAGAAATACAAAATTAAATCAGGTTACCAGCTGACTCACTGAAATGTGCAAGAAAATGCAGAGTCACAATAAGTCAGGCAAATCAATTCAGCACAGTATGAATGAGAGTAGGGGGCTACTTACTGGTCAGGATGGTCAGCAGGAACAGATACTCTGTGTAGGATATCAAACCTGCAAGAGACAAAGAAATGTACGCTGAATTATATTTAGGAAATAAAATAACCAATAAATATAAGGACGGAATTTGAAAACAAATACTAACATACATATGTGAATTGTTCTTGTTTCAAGAGGCCCTATTGTGCTTTTTGAGGGTTCCCTTTCCTGTAGCGTGTTTTATAGGTTTTAGTGCATATAAATGGTCTAAAATCCATAAGTTCCCTCCAGAGGGAGTTTCTCCCCCCCCTCCTTCTATTGTCTAGCGCTCGAACACATTGTACGTGATAGGCTAAGGGGAGGGACATCTTAGTGGTTGACCTATCACAACAGAGCCGGCCAGCTAACCAATCAGAGCAGACTGGGCTCTGGTTTCAGACAGAGGGTGAAAAGAGGTGCTGCAGCACAAACAGTATGAGAAAAATAAAGACCTTTTTGAACATTAAAGCCTGGAGACATGTCACAGTAGAGACACTAAATACTGATATGAACCTGAAAATGAGAAGATAGGGCCTGTTTAAAGTTTAGAACTTACCATCGTCTCCTATTGTTCTGAACAGTTCATTACCGGCCAGAGCTTTAGAGGCAGTGGCCAACATGTGGTTAACCTCCTGCAATAAGAAACAGATGACAACACAAACTGATGATCTTCAAGTGCTACTAACTGTAGCTAACTAATTTACAAAATGTGAAGATGTTAACATACCTGTGTGGTTAAACTTCTCTTCTGCAGCTTTCCTACAGAAGAAACCAAGTTTAGTTAATAAAACAACCAAAAACTTAACAAGGAACAGTGTAGGGCCTTAAAGGGGACCTATCATGCAAAATGCACTTTTGTACGTCTTTTATACATGAATATGTGTCCCCGGTGTTCCAGGGAACTCACCAAGTGTCAGAAAACACAACCCTCTCTATTTTCCTCCATACCCAAATCTCTAAAAAAGGGGCTGCAACGGATCTTGATAAAAACTGATCCAGATTTGAACACTGTCCTGACGTCAGGACAGTGGCGCTACGGCTATTGGGCCAACTCCACCAATCAGGAGGAGACAGCCACGGCCATTGCCGTTCGAAAGCGCTGGAGACGCTGTAGTACATATGCCAGGCCTGTAGATGGTGCTGTTCTCACTGAATCTGCCCTTGCAAAAACAGAGCTAAAAAATGTCAAATTGAGCAAAATGAGGAATGGCTAAAATGCATGATCTGTTTGGTATTTTGGAAAAAAAAAAGTATAAATATGCCTTATATAGGTATGGTCCTACACTATATCATTCAAATATAGCATGATAGGTCCACTTTAAATGTGTTTTTGTAAATGTATCCTGCATTTTTCGAGGGTTAATACCCAAGTGTTGCACTCAATATTTCCAATGATAGCACATATCATCCTGTGTTAACTGTCAGCAGATGATGGATATCAATAAGCTTACGGTCCACATTCTCCAGCATCACAGAGAACAGGAAGTCTCTAGGGGTCATGTAGGGCTCCTGCTCGTACATCCCCGAGGCGAACTGGACGAACCGAACCTTCCTGGCTGACAGAGTTGGAGCTGCTACTTCCTGAAACACAGGTATCAGAGAGCACTGTGATAATAAGCACCATGAAGTAAGTGTGTGTGTGTGTGTGTGTGTGTGTGTGTGTGTGTGTGTGTGTGTGTGTGTGTGTGTGTGTGTGTGTGTGTGTGTGTGTGTGTGTGTGTGTGTGTGACAGCTGGGGGGCGTCAACATTAGCTGTTGATTTAAGTGTACCTAGTATTACGCACTTACAGTACATATTAATATACGTGTCTGGGTAACTTATATTTAGCAGCTTAATATTCGACCAGACAGACACACGACAGATGGGTTTGTTCGACGACACAAACTTTAGTTAGACTTTGGTTAACTTTTATTATGCGTGAACTCACTTTCGGTGCCTCGGCATGGACAGCAAAGAGCAGAGTCCTGTTAGGAAGATATTGGTAATAACAGATAAGCCCGGTACCGAGAGCTGAGCCCACTATAGCGGGTCCGACAGCACGGTGCCGTGCTACAGCTCTCAGAGACCGAGGACTCCTCACTGCGTTCCTGAAGACGGAGACGAGCCTCCCGAGGGCAGCCATGTTCAGGAAGGGAGCTGCTACTAAGCCACGCCCACAGAGGAAGAGAACTCAATGATCACGTGACACCCCCGTCCCGGAAACATCTCCAACATGTTCCGAATCCGAATAAATAAAGAATAAATAAATGAAGAGACATATACAAACATACTGTCCACATCTATGCACCTAATTGTAATTGTTAAGATCCCCTTCAGTAATGTTTTAGACAGCAAAATACTCTGCTTCAAATACTAATTTGAGTAAGGCTAATAACTTCAACCTTAAACATTAGCCTACCTAAAGAAATCTTTAAATTACATATAGGCCTACCCCTCCTTCCTTATTCAAATATAAAGGTAATGTTTAATTTCTCCAAATTGCCCTGTGCATGTTAACAGTAGCTACTGAAGTGTAGCTTCGGATAAAAGCGTCAGCTAAATAACATGCAATAGTAATAAGGTCCAAAGTTAAGCTGCTGGACACAACATATTTCCTTCCATTCTCAGTTGGCCATTTATCAGACCTGCAGACCTTAAACTGTGTGTGAAGTCTCTTAATACTGCTAGTCCAGGTGATGAACTGAGATACAAGGTGAGGGTAGACCTTTAGTGTCAAACTCACTCTCTGTATTATAAAAAAGAAGAACACCAACCAACATATAATGGGAAGAAATGTTTATTGTTTACTACTGAAGAAGACAACAATCTACTTCCAGGTATAGAATGGCCATCTGAAACAAACCATTATCTTGAGCTACAGGATGCATGGTTACAGCTCCTACATGAGTCTTAAGAAACAACGGCGCCTGTTGTCTATCCTGTTCCTCCTGCACCAGGACCTTCTGTCTCAGAAGACAGGCAGCACCATGGACCATCCCACAACTTCAGTCATGAAGCATTGGGATGAGAGCAGAAGAGTCAACAATGACAGGTAATGCCACAGAAGAGGAGATGTTCTCATAATTAACCTGACAGTTGAAATAAGAATAATTTTTGGAGGTGAATTTTGGGTTTTCTTCTGTAATTGATGGAAATACATATTAATCCACAACTGACTTTGGGGATTAGATAAGCAGTTTGGATCCTGTTTATTTCTCTGCAGTGTTACACAATGGATCATACAATCTTCTTTGGAATTGTGTATGTGTATTATGTTCCATAATTCCATTCGAATGTGTAATATTTAATTTCAGACTCCTTAAATACAAGTTAAATATAGTTGTCACTACAGTTTAGTGACAGAGCATGATGCAAAGTGTAATTGTGGATTCCACTTTTAATCTGGGCCAGCATTTATTTGTCACAGAAGGAAATCATTCCTATTGACCCAAGTTTCACAGACATATGCATAATACATTAATGTTTAAAATATAGACAAAAGTACCGTCAAAGCCTTTTTAACCACATTTCTTAAACAAGCAGAGAAAATATAATATTTCCCTCATGATTATACAATTAAATCACAATATGTGGCCATGATACAAACCTAGAGAGTCAGTGGAACTGGACTGATTTTATGAGACAATACCATATTTCTTATTTCCACAGACAAATATTGGCAGATTTTATTCAATTCAATAAACACATCATAATTTAAATGTACATTCTGAAAACATACATCAAGTTGTGCACATTTTGTGAAATACTGAATGTATGTATGTTTTTGTGTTCTATTGTATAACAGACCCTGCACCAATACTGTCTGTGCATTGGGCTTTACTTGAGTGCAGAACAAAGTTTGCACGTACCTTTATTTTTACCGAGATGAGTTACTCATTCATGTTCAATAACATTTGATTTAAACTGCACTTGTAATTTAAAGGACAATTAGAATGTTCATTGGTAGCTATAGTAAAGCCAAACATACATTTGTATTGTATTATTGGCAGTATGCTGCATATTCTGCTCAATGTTTGCATTCTACCCTTGTACAAGTTATTGTATGACCAGAAGGAAGCGGGACGGATCCGAGGCACACACAGTTCGGAAAACAATGATTCAGTTGTGTAGTGGTGTCCATATGAAGGCTAGTTTAGCTGTATTTCCAGAGGGCACCTACAGTATGTGAACACACACCTCAGATTTTTTCTAAATAACATATTTTCATAATTTTATTTAGATTATCGGTTGAGTGTGTTTACATATCAATGTCATGTCTACATACGGTACTTTACTGTATGTAGTGTGATGCAGTAATGAGTCCTAAAAAACATAAATAAGTTAGCATTTTACCACTTCTGGTTTCCTTCCTGAATTCAATGGTTTTTGAACGTGTTTTTGGTAAGATCCTTCTGAAATAAGGTTAATAAGAGTTTACGATACTTTCAAATTTTTTCTACGACATAAAAAAAGTCAGTTAATACCCCACTGGTGAATGTCTTAAGCTTTATGTCATAAAACCTTTAGCTTAGCATTGGTGATGCGCAGCCATAACTGTGATGTAGTTTGTTTATAGCCTACACTATGTTTTACATCTGGCGATTGCATTTAAGCTTCCAAAATCATAAAGTGGTGTTAATATGTGCTGAATATCTTGCTGAACAAAACATGGAAGTATCATAAACGTGCATATACCAGAGATCCTATTTCTGTCAAATCAAAAATTCGAAACGGAAAAATCCCATTGCTTTTCGTTGAAGGAGCTCTTGAGATGCTAGCATCCGGGTCGGCCTTTATTAATAGGTCATGAATGCACCATTATTATATCTTGCCTATGACCTCCAACATTTGTTCCATAAGGTTGGAAGAACAAAGGCTTTAGCGTAGTGTAAGGAGCTGATCACGTGGGCCTACAGTCAATGCTAATCTCTGTTGCTACCTTGTGGTGATAACGTTCATCTTTTCAGATGGCCTTTTCTGATTCACAGATTATAAAAAGTGGTGCGTTAAAAGTCGATTATCAGTTTTTAAGAATGTGCAATTGAGTTAAAAACCCTTCAGCTTGTAGTTGAAACCAACGTGAGGAACAAACAGTTTCCGTTAGCTCTGTGTCTGACCGGCATGTGTGTCCACATCAATTGCACGTCAAGTTTGCATCAGCAGGTTTGGAGATTTATTTAATGTCATAGCAGCAAGTTGTAATGTAAAGTAACAACGACATACACACTTGTAAGACCATCAATGAAGGATACAAAGTTTGCACACATTTTTTTTCTTCAGTCACGGTTTATGCTGCCTACTTAATTTCGACTGTTATTTTAATAACATAGTGGAAAAAGACCCTCATGGGTTTCATTAAAGTGATGGTAAGCGAACACTTACAACGCACATGGTGATGTGGGCTAAATATATGCCATGAGCAATGAATCAGAACAATTACAGCCACACGAAAATACTATAGCTCCTATTTCAATGATAAAAATATGTATTGCAAAGACAGGCTCGCTGTCCTTATTCATGATTCAATAACCAATAGCTTTTTTTCCTTCTGAACCACTGTTTCAGCAAACTGCATGACATGGCACTTATGTTAAAACAAACAGTGACTGGCAAATGGAAATAACATTCACACCAAAACATAGCTTATATATTGTCGTTCAACTCATTTGAAGGCTGCAGTAATACAGATACAGCACACTACAATCCTCAAGTCAGTGAATTCAAATACTGCTGCATCTGAGATATACTTTTGGAGTTTTTATAGAAAGGAAGACCGTGAAGAAGTCTTTTTTTGTACACATTTGAGGTGCAGTTTGATAGAATGGAAAATACATTGAAGAAAGTCACAGCTGCTGTGTGTTTCCTCCTTTGTCTTTAATATGAGTACACTGTGTCAAAATGGCTACATTTTACTGACATTAATGATACTTTAATTGTTTTTGTATATGTAAAAAATAATTGGCATACATGACAAATAATAAGTGGACTAATTTAATGCCCGTTCATCTCTGCGATCACAGCATACTGTACTTTTTCTGAACTGCCCAGCTGTTTCTCATGTCTGTAACATATGACCTAATCACACCTCTCACAGAGACACCCTCTAATCATTAGTACACATTCTTATTGGGGCAACTCCTGAATCTGATATGAATAAATATAGGCATATAAAAATACAACAAGCATACCTACAGTATGTCCTGCTGCTCTTCCCTGGTAAAATGTGTGTCATACAACTAGATACTGGTGTACTTATATACACTATGATATTTAATAGTGGCTCCTAATTTGCATATTTTTCATTTAAATGTCATAATATATTTGAGTGATGATTGTTTTTATTTGTGGATTAATACAAATGTTTTAATTTTACCCATTTCAGTTCAGAGTATTGTTTTATTAGAGCACAGGATTTATTGGTATACATACAAAGATAGGTATATACAATTCATGACTCGAATCATGACAGTTTACATTTAACTTGCCTTTGACGGAGAGATTCCAATCAGTTTGAACTTCAAATGAAAGACACAGGGTACAGAGAGGCTTAACTCTCAGCGAACAGCTTCAGGGTTTTACAATTTTGGCCACCACCAACTCTGTGGTGATTGAACATTTCACAGCTGAAATCAGTACATTCTGTGGAAAAGAAATCGCAGTAATACAGTACAAACAGCAGAGGGGCCATTTGGCTTCTTAATTCATGTTACAGATCAAGGAGTAGTCACTTCTCTGGTCTATCCCCTCAAGAAACAACCATTTTTCTTCTCATGCTTATTGTGGTTAGAAGACAAACATATTTTGTCAAACTCACCTCTGGATTTTCAGAAGTAGACAGTGACAGAAAAATTCATTTTCCTCCAGCCACATTAAATTATTGCAATTTCAATACTGCCCAACTTATTTCAAGAACATAAAAATAAAGGCAAGTTTGACAGTGCACTAATAGACTTTTTCATGCAATGTTCAGATTTTTGTCATGTATACAAAAGCATTGTGTCACATAGGCTTAGTATTACTTTGAGCATTGCCACTTTGAACACACCTTGGATTAGAATTTGATGGAAAGCTCTTTTCTTGACATGGATCATTGTGGACAAACAATAATAATAATAATAATAATAATAATAATAATAATAATAATAATAATAATAAATAAAAGCTGAAAATAAACGGTAGAACTGTGTATTAATTGACACCAATGAAGTCAGGTGGGTAACACCAGCATTCCATTATATTAACATGATTCAAAGCTAGCAATGTGATGGGATTAAATGTCTTTATGATTAGTATACAGATGTGTCAAGTGTCTAAGGTGCACAACTGCATGGGGTAAGCTTACGTTTATGTGACAAATCATGGAGTTCACATTTGCAATTATTTCTTGTTTCCTTTTCCCTTTTAAAAAAAAGTATATTGCTTCAAAAAACTTGTTTTTCTTTTTTGATATTGTGAAACATATCATTCACCACTTCTCGGGGTTTGTCTAGCTAGACAGAGCATTACATTATCAGTCAAAGATACATACAGAAAGATGCTGTGAATCCGAGAGATTAAACGATCAACGATGGGACGTGACAGTGACTTATACTTGGGACCACTTGTTGAAGTCTGTCTGTCTGTCTGGGCCGACCTGCTATCTACCAGCAGGTGGCACAATGCAAGCACTGATGTATTGCCTGGGTGAAGGGGAGGGGCTGAGAGATTAGTCTGTCACAGTAAAAATAGTCAGTCCAAGGACCCGGTGTGTTCCGCTCTGTGACTGAGGATCAGCAAACCTAGCTGCACATGCTCTCCATCCATCCCTCACACCCACCGCCTCCCACGCATCTCGTCAGTGAATAATGTTAAAACATAAAGGGGCTCCTCATTTGCTCTTTCCAGAAGTGCTGGAGCCCCCTGCCCCTCCCTCCATTTTGTCGGCGATTTCTGACGTGTCTAACTTCTCAGAGCCGTCCCCTTTCTCTGACCTCTCCTTCTCAGACCTCTCCTCCCCCTCGGCCAGCTCCGACCTCTCTGACCTGGCGTCGGCATCCCCCTCCGACTTCTCCTTCCTCTCCGAGTGGTCGGGTTCCATGGACGAGGTTCCCGGCTTGTCCCACTTGCCCAGTTCCTCGTATTCAGATATACAGATGGTGATGCTTGAAGTCCAAGCCTTCATGTCCTCCTTTAGAGAGCAGCAAATGACACACATTTCTATTATGTAATCATTCTCACTTCTGGTTATCATTTTATGTTTTGGGATTCACAAAGTGTCATCAATACAGATCAACGTTTTTATACATCATCGGGTTGAGTACCTTGCCCAAGGACACTGACCTTCGATTGGTGGACAACCACTCTACCTAATAACCCACAGCCACCGCCATGTGGTGTGCGATCGCAGGTTTGAATTGGTAGGGAAAGAACGGAGCTGGTTGTAGCTTTAGAGAATGCTATGACCCAAGGCCGGATTAGTGACCAATATTTTACATTTTCATTCAATCTGGCCTGTCAATCGCACACCTATTTGTCAAAAGCAGGGACGCAGCTACATAGTTCAACCAAAGTATAGGTCTAGCCTTTTGCCCTTTCAGTCAACAATTACAAGACAAGGATACAATGGATGGACTCAAGACAGTGTATGGCTCAAGAAGACCTAGGTAATACGCCACGCGTAGTAATAAAGTTGAGCGCATAGTGAGTCCTACACATAGACGGTTTAGAAAATATATTAATTTCACCCTATAGAAAAGCCGAGTTATTTATTGCGGCGGAGAGTGAGTTTCATTTAAAACAATGTATGATGAGTGAGGTTTTTTTTCTCTTGTCACTGAGGGCCCTCTCTTGCTCAAGGGCCCCCTGGGCACGTGTCCAGTGTGCCCATATGGTTAATCCGGCCTTGCTAGTTCCTAACCACATTGAGGACAACAGGTTCCATATACGGGTTATCAAGAGAAATGTTCCCTGATATTTGAGAGTAAATGACAGCATGCTGCAAATTCTGCTCATATTTTGAGACATTTTTGTATTCCTATAGAGAATTACAAAAAGAAAGGAAATTAAAAATAGACAAACTAAAGCAATGTCTGATATTTATTTGCATAAGGTAAAGATCACAGTGTGAGTAGACTGAACATCATGTTTTTGGTTGAGTTTTTTTTCCAGTATTTTGGTGCAATGGAAGTATGTCAATTAATTCTCCTTCAATTGGTTTGTTCTAAATCCAATTCTACATGCAGGTTTTTGTTGGGTAATAACCCTTCAACAGATAAGACGGGCGATCATTTATATTTTGTTATTGTCAGCAAATCTGTCTGTTTATAACACTTCCTAAAAGTGTCAGACTCTTTCTGAGGGTCGGCAGCCAAAAAGAATAAAAAGATCCCCAGCCACACAAGGGGAGATGGAGAGGAAAAGGTTTTCTGGCATGTAGGACACCTTTGCCAGCACAGCATCACGTTATATTAAACCCAGCATGGCTAAAGCAGGCAGTTGTGTCTGCCTCTGTCAGATGCTAACTTGTAAATGCTAACTAGACTATGCTAGCAAATATGCACAGCTATCTTTATTTTCTTTACTCATCCATCTAGGACACGGTCAAGATATTAGACTTTTATACATTTGTGTCATAGCAAATGGACCTTTTGTATGTCTAATCAGCGCTCCGGTTGTTTCTGCTTCTTTCCTGGGGGACACGTTAAAGGGTATGTTTGGGGTGAAACAAACTTTATTTCGAAATGAGAAGAAAGAAACAAGAATTCTGTTGGCGCCCCCGAAACGCAAAGACAGTACCTCACATTGGCTTCCTTTATCAGACCTGGAGGTTCCTGAGGTTGTTATTTATTAACCTGTTTCATTTTGTGTTTTAATAAAATGTCACCCAGCAACACATTTAACTGTGACACAGTATTTTATTTGTATGTAGATTTGTATGCACCTCTGCCAATATATACTTTTCTGTTAAAAAGGCCAATAAACAAATTAGGAATAATAAATAAGCTACAGTGTGTGTGTTCATGGTGATAAAGGAGCATGACACAGAGTGCAACAGTGTGGCTCACTGACAAAGGAGCTCTATGGCACCAATCATTAAGATTCATCTGGCTTTGGATACATACATCATTCTTGTTATTTTAATACATACATGGTTTTAGTCAAGATCGCCAGACTCACTCTAACTTTACTGAACACATGTAAACAACCTTTATGTTAGGTATATTCCTTAATGTGTAGTTATCTCCTGTTGGCTCCTTATGGCTCTCTTATGTGGAAAATATAAGGTCTATATTAAGAGACAAAACTGCATGATGTCCTTTTGTCTGCCCCTTTTAAACATGACTCAAATACAATGTTCTTACCCTCATCTTTTGCATGGAATGCAAAGTTGTTACCATCAGCCATTCTGCAGGAAAAATGAACAGGGATTATCAGTTTCTCATTCACTGTAATAATTGTTTTAATGTTGAATAATAAAAATAGTAATAATATTGTAAAGTTGTAAATATTCTGTGCTTTGATTTTAAAATGTGAAATGTAATATCATGATTTGTGTCACAATAACTTACTGAAGAATGAAGACATTTTTCTTCTTCTTGTATCCCATAGAAGGATCAAAGGTGCAGTTAGCCAGCTCCACAGGAGGCTCCTCGTTGTATGTCGTAGTCAGGTGCCTAGCATCCTTGTAGAAAAGCAGCTGTCCCTCTTTCAACACACAGTACACGTTCAGCCAGGATTTGCTGTGAAATGAAGATGACACATTTAACAGATATTAATAGATTACGATTGAATACATGTTCAGACATGATTTGGGCCAGTGGAAAGATTGACAAACAGAGTAACACAATGTACAGGTTATTACAGAAGTACACTTTCCTTCACATTTTCGAAACACAATGATAGTGGAAGCAAAATGATCATTGAAATTCCCAGGCCTTTTTAAAAACAAAAAGTTGTCAAGACGCCAGACAAAGCAGGCTTCTTTTTTATAGCAGACGACTGATAATTTGTCGGTTTGAATGTCCGCTGTTGTTGGCAGATTAGCATAAACTACTTCCAACCGAGCTGGTCTCCAGCTAACCTTTTAAGGTTTCCACCTGACTCATTTAAAATGATCATCTTGTAAAAGGGGTCTTAATACAATTAAACAATCCCACCAGTTAATGATCCATGTAGAAGATATCAAGATGTTGCAGTGTAGTTTTAATTGAATAAAAAACAGTGTATGTCTTAGTTGTGACCAGCTTTTCTTTAACATAGCATTACTCCACAAATGACTCTAGATAGTTCATAATGTCCTCCATTGCCTGGAAGTAAAGCTCGGTGACTGTAAGCTAGTAAGCTGGACATGCTAACATTCAAATCACATGTTTATGCAGATACATTTCTTATCTTCCTTACACTTGGGTAGACAGATCTCCAGGCTCCATGAAATGTCTACGTCTGATTGGTCTTGACATTGGTTATACCTGTTTGGGCTTCTCTGCTGAGCTTCAAGGTCAGATGATGTGGCCTTTTTGCGGTAGAGGAAGCCTTCGTTTTGGGCAGTGTGTGAAGGCGGCTGAGGTGTGGTTGGGGCCCCAGTAGCTGGAGCTGAGCGAGAACGCCGTGTCTCCTCAGGCTCTTTGGGACGAGGCCTCCTCCTCGGTTTGGGGCGGTCTCGGGCCCGAGGACGTCCATCAAAACGAGTCACCGGTTGCTGAGAGGCTGCTTGCAGGGCGATAAGAATCTCCTCGTGACTGAGGAATGAAAAAGAAGAGAATGTCATATCAAGAAAAAAAACAAAAAACGAGCAACAGTGTTTTGATGTACCGTGCAAGCTTACTCACAGATGCTGCCTCTCTCTCCTGGACTTGTTCAACAATCTCTGCCATGGTATTTCTCTTATCCCTGTAGTTACAACAGACATGTGTCACCCGAACACAATCATCATGTGACACTACAAATCTTTAGGGTCATGCCACACAGTGTTGACTATGCAAATGTGTTAAGATCATCTGACTTTAACTGTCACCACACTGACAAAACGGAAACGTTGACTTTAATTAAAGTCAGTGGTGCAGTTTTTTCAGTGTAGCATGGCTCATTTACATACCCTGAGCGTTTGTCAGAACCGTCCTTAACAGAGCCCTCCAGGTCACTCGAGTCCTGCCTCTGGAGCCTCTGCTTGCCGTTGCCCTCCTGCTCGCTGGACGACTGCCTCTCCAGGCGCCTCCGGTAGCGCTCCTGACGCACAATCAGCGGCAGCTCGTTCAGCCTAGCCTGGATCTCTTGTTCGCTGGAGGTCTGTCTACCCAACTTGTACTCCCTCTCTCGCCTCAGGTGGTCCATCTGAGGATCCGAGCGGCTGCCACGGGGATCCCTCTGGAGGCGGCCGTGGAGGAGCTCCAGCCCCGACTCTGGCCCCACCATGTCGGCCATTGGGATGTCCCCAAACTGTTCCCGCTGCACCCTGCTGGCCTCTAGGAGGGGGTTTACAGCCTTGTGGATGTGGTTGATCCTGGGCTGCATGAAGTCAGCTTTCAGATGCTGCCATGCATATGCCATTTTAGGGTCCATGATGCCACCACTTTGCGCCAGGTAACTAGAACTGCCCAGACTTCCACTGCTGTAATTATTTTGTGCCAGAAAGCCTGAGCTACCCAATCCCCCACTGCTCTGGTAATTCTGCGCTAAGTATCCAGAACTCACCATATTAGGCTGTTGTGCTAAATACCCAGAACTCCCCATGTTAGGCTGTTGTGCCAAATACCCAGTGCTCCCCAAATTAGGCGGTTGTGCCAAATACCCAGAACTACCCATATTAGGCTGCTGCGCCAAATATCCCGTACTTCCTAAATTAGGCTGTTGTGCCAAATATCCCGTACTTCCTAAATTAGGCTGTTGTGCCAAATATCCTGTACTCCCTAGATTAGGCTGATGTCCCAAGTATCCAGAACTTCCCATATTTGGTGATTGAGCCAAATATCCAGAACTGCCCATATTCTGTTGAGGCAGATAGCCAGGGCTTCCCATACCCCCACTGCTTGGCTGCTGAGCTATGTTACCTGAATTTCCCAACCTCCCGCTGCCTAGATGGTTTGGCGTACCACCGACACACCCAGTAGTCAGTCCGTAGTATCCAGAGCTTTCCGCATTGCCAGCAGTTGGTAGATGGTTTATCCCAAGGTAAGTATCTGCTCCAGGATTCTGGGAAGTCAGTGCTGTGAAAGCGGATTCACTTCCACCTCCCGGCACCTGGTGGTTCATTCCAAGGTATGAGGAGCTTGCCAACTTCCCACTGCCCTGCTGTTCCAGTCCATGGTAGCCTGATCCATTTATAACTGGCTTGTAACTAGCTAGGGTTGAGGACAATCTCTGTGTCGCAGGGGAGGCTCCCAGATCCAGACTGGTCTGTAAGGGTTTGGGTTCTACATGAACCTGTACCGTCTGCCTCAAGAAAGATGAGGTAGCACTGATTGAGGGAACACTGGGAGTCAGACATGATATTGGGAACATCCTTCGGCTGGAGAGCGGGGTTGCCTTTTTCTCCTCCTCTTTTTTCTTCTCAGCCTAAAGAGAGAGTTAACTAAATAACTAATAGCTCTCCATAAACCCAATTCAAACTCAGACATCAAAGGTTGATGGTCCAACAAAATGGGGGTACAAAAAGTTATCAGGAATGATTTGCTCAATTAAGAACAGTGTTATATTAGCTACTTAGCAATGTAGCATGATAAGCAGATGGGGTGCAGAGAACACAGTAAACCACATGCAGTCAACGCCCTGAGACAGATTTAAGCCCATAACGATGCATGCGCCCCATGCCTGCTAAAGCAAACATAAGATCCCAAGGTCACATTTTTTTCCCTGTAGCAGCATTAAATAGTGACTCCACCAAACTGATTAAACATTTATCTACAGTCAAGCTTACTGCGGAAAGCTGGCGGAGAGAGCTGAAGCGTTCTTTCCAGGTGACAGCAGCCTTGCGGAAGGCCTCGTGGCGAAGGATGAGTTGCTCAACCTCGTCTGTTTGGGTCCGGGCTCCTCCTCCCTCTGGCTCCTTGGAGGTGATCAGCGGCTCCTTGGCCTTCAGCCAGGCTTCTGCCTTCACCGTCTCCTGGGCGAACTGGAAATGTTCCTGCCCTGGAGTTGACAGCAGATCAACTGCATGGTTACCACAACACCACCGCACACTACAGTAGAAATCGTTTGCGCCATCATAGCAGATGTTTATATTACTATTACAGTCATGTAATGTTTGCAAGAACAATATTCTTCATACATTTTTCATGGAAAAAAGGACACGTTTATAGTTAGAACCATATAATATAAGTGGTTTGTTAAGAGCTGCTTCCGCTCTGATGTACTTGTAGTGAGTTACTCACTGCGCAGTAACTTCTCCTGGTGTTTGTCCCATTTTTCAATAAGATCCCTCTGCTTAGCCAGAAGACTGTCCAGCTTCTCTTGTATCTGTGGTGACAGACAGATTGCAGTCATTACCTCAGCAACATATTCCTGCATCCTAATCAAGTCATTTTATGGGTTTAATGTGTTCTTTTGTGTTGTGCTGTTTGTCAGCCTGACCTCCTCTGATGCAGGGTTGCCTGCAGCTATGAGGATCTTGCCCAGATCTGCACACTGCTGTATGGTCTTGCTGCGGCCGTCTACTTTGGCTTTCAGCTCCTGATGTTGTCTCATCATCACCTCGAGAGCCGTCAGATCTCTGAGGACGGATAGAACAGATAAATAAGGATAAATGAAGAACAAATAACTATCATGGGGTGTGTAGTCCACCAAAGAAACTCTTGGTTGTGTGAAATTCTGTCGACTCTTCAACCAATCCACTTATTGATGGGAGCTGGGGAGAATAATCATTTATAGAATACTCTCAGTGATGGTAAGCAAAACCAAGCCACCTGTTCCAAAGAAATAGGCATTACACAAAATGGGTCAATACAATACAAATGTACAGTTGTTAAAGAAGCCTACTACTATAACAGCAGGGCATGAATATATTTAACATTCTAACAAAATCCCAAAGCATATTCCAGTTCAAATTGTAAGCCTTCTGGCTTCAGAGTGTTTTTATGTTATATGTGTTTTTTTTTTAATCAAATTCAATCAATATCAAGGAATCCTGAAAAACCTACAGAGTGTAAAATGTGAACTGTAAGCGGTATACCAGTAGACATACTGTAGTACAGTACTTGTGGTAAAATGATGAATGAGGCTGAATAATAATGACTTTGTCGACCCTGCCTTTTCTCTAGAGCCAGCAGCAGAACCAGCTCTCACCATCCTCTCACAACATTATGAAATGCTCCCATGCACACAACAGGATCAATCCTTCTGGTATAGGTGGCCATAGATGTAGCCAACAACGCTCTTTGACAATAAGTATCTACATTTTACCATCACATTTCATAACAATGATAATACCAGCCTCCATATGTTTTTGAGCATTTCTCCTTTATCTCTGATATTGGAGAGACATGGACAGGAAGTCTGGGTCGAGATAACTGTGGATGACATGCAATACAGGCTGGATTTCCAACCTGAGACGGTTCGCTTACATGATATGTATTAGATCCATGTTACAGTGATGTTATTGCCTTTGGCCAGACAATTGATGGACATAAATGTTGATCTTTAATTAACAAAGTTAATAGTTATTAAGCAAAAACAAACAGACATTAGCTTGTTCCAGCTTCACAAAGGCGAGTGAAGTTTATTGTAAAAAGAACAACTTTGTGTTTTAGACTGAAATAACTAAACAGAGAAATAATCTGAAAAAAGATGTCTTTAACATGGGTTGGTTAAGGGATTGTAAAAGCAAATGGATAGAATATAATCATAGATATATTTGGACCTCAGTGAGACGTCAAAGGCCTGGTCTTATTCAAAGCAAAGAGTGCTGAAAATGTAATAGCTCTATGGGTAATGTTCTACTCCTCAAGTGGGACTGTACCCCACTTTGGACACGAGTGGTTTCTGCAATTGAGTAGTGATTGGATCAGCTGTTTCTGCCTTCATAGACATGTTCTACCAGCTGGACTTACAAAGGCCAGCATTTTGGTGAGCTCTCACAGGCTCTCCTTTTGCATCCAGTTTCAGAGTAAGGAACTGGAAAATGGAAGCACACCTTGAAACAACTTGTTGTGGATTTGGAGTCAACTGGAAACTAACTGAAATGTGGGTAGCTTCCTTAAATGTTTTTATGATGGGGATCATTAGATAGTAATTTGTAGAAAACATTAATGTATGACAAGTGAGATGTGTAAAAGGTGATTTGTGGAATATTGTCTCAAGTAAGCTATGAAATGGCTAAAAACTGTGAAAAATCTTTATCACAATTTCCTAAAGCCGGGGGTTACGTCTTCAAATGTTGTCTTTGTCAAACTATCAAGCCAAACCCAAAGACATTCAGTTGGCAATCACATAACACACATTCTGAAGCAGAACATCTTCACAATGGAGAAACTGGAACAAAAGAATGTCAGTCATGTTTGCTTTGAAAATGAAATGATTAACCAATTAGCCTTTTTGTTGATCCAATAATCTATTATTCGCCAAACATGAAAGAAAATGTGACACAAATTTGAATTGGACCCCTTTAAAAGACAGGCACATGCAATCTTTATCAGTGGCACAGTGAGAATGTCAATGCATATGGTGATATACATAAACAGCTGCTAATATTTGGATTACACTATACAGCAGTAGTGATAACAGTGCAAAATGTATAGCCCTCAAACACATAATAATAATACCAGATGTCATCTGAAAATTAGGTCAAGGTGGCACAGCAGCCTAATTCGACACTGCACGGAAATGAATTCTCTCTATAGGGACTGCATACAACCACAGGGACCTCCAGCTAACTGAACCACAGAATGCAGCTCCTAAACCAGCACAACACACTGGATACAATGGGTTTAATGCACAGCTCAACACAGAAGAGTAAGCAGGTGTGCAGCAGGAGTCTTACCTGGGCTCATCCCATATAATCTGGCCCATGATGCCTTCCATCCACATGAGGTTTTCACGCACCACGGAGAAGAACTGCACCTTGTCTGTGACTGAGGTGACCTGCACACGGCTGGCCTCACAGGAGCTCAGCAGCTCCTTCCAGGCCTCCATCACTTCCTGCTCTTTGACCATGATGGCCTCCGCCTTTTCCCCAGCGTAGATGGTCCTCAGCTGGGCCGCGTTCTCCTGCAGCTGCCTCACCTGCAGAGAAAGGATGAAGAGGCGTCATTACAGGAGAAAACAGTCAGTGTAGAAGAGAGCTTGTAGAACTAAAATGATTTTATTAGTGTGTCTGATATTTTGTATTACTAGAGATGCTATCTCATCTACTTTTATAATGCTTCTACCTATTTCTATTTAATCTTTTTTACCAGGGATGTGCACTTATTTGATTTGATTTGTATGTATTATGTCTTTATTGTACAAGGACCATGCACAACAACATACATTTCAAAAAGAGAAGAGATAATTTATGCCAGATTTGAGCTAATAGCTCATTTCCATCTGCAGTCCCTGGGCAGGTACACACATAACAATAAACAAACACTTAAAACATTAATAAAAAATCAAACTACGATGAAACAAATGTTGGCAAGACTGGTTGCTCACGATCCATTTGTTTTGCACCATGGGACATAGAGTGAAAGTCTGTGCACATTTGAAGTTCAGCTGAATGATATTGAATACCAATCAAACTTTTGAAAACAGAAGGAGATTTTGTTGTATTTGGACAGTATATTGCAATGATGTTGATTTAATGATTTATTATTAAAAAGTTATAAGGAATCTCAATGTGTTTCAGCACTCTCTTACTTGCCTTGGACCAGCAGGTTATATCAGATGATGTGATTGAATCATGAGGTACAAACATGTTTTTGATGCTTCTACAGTATTGCTAAACAATTCCTAATATGTCTCAATTTGAAGATTTGATATATCAGTTGTCGACTTGTGTTTTTGATATGGCTTTTGAAAGTTAAGTTGGTATCTCAATCACTCCTAAACATTTCCCCATGTTAACGTTTTTGATCATTTGTCCATTATCCTTAAACTGTGAATATCGTATTATTAGTCTAATTGAACGTGTGTATGCTTGACTCTATATTTAATATGTAAGCCTACTTTTTGTCTGATTGCTGTAACAGTGTAAAAGTGGGGAAATGAAGGTTACAGGAACAGAGGATTTCTGGTCTGCCATCATCCCTTTGCTCATGAGCAGGAGTACACTGTGTGACGTATGGTGTCAGAACTCATCACTTGCCTGTGCAACCAGCAGTTGAAGGGCATGCTCAAAGGAGTGCATGAGCCTCTGCAGGGTGGCTGGATTGGTGATGTTGGCTTGGCACGCCCTCACCTCTGGCAGCTGCTTCATCTTCCCTGCGATCTGAGCCAAGACCTACAACACAGGACAGTGTCATTATCACGAGCGCTTTAAAAATAGAAGCTGCATGTCACGGCCAGACTGTCTACCTCTGAAATGAAGAACACGGTACTCCTGATATTTGTTTTGACGGTACCTCTTTGCAGTCGGTGAAGAACTTGTGCAGCTGGTGCGAGGCGAGCAGCATTTGCCTGCGGGTCTCCATCAGCTCCAGCAGGTCGGCCCACGACTCGTTCAGCCCGTCCTTCCACTCGGCGATGGTGGCCGCGTCCGAGTGGCCGCAGTCGATCATCTCGTTCACCATTTTGTTGACATGCTCCATGCGCTGCTGCCCGATGCTGTTGGTTTCTGTGGCAAACTTGGTGAATCTCTCCTGAAGCACCTGGAACACACATAGAGCACAAACACTACAAACACACTGATACAATGCATTAACTGAGGAAAGAAAACCTCGGTTTGATATAATTGTATAGTCATTTCAATACATGATTCATTTTTCTAAAGACTAAATGATTAATGGATACAGAAATTAGTCTGTAAATTAATCAATTAGGAGAGAGTTTCAGACCCAGTTTATTCAAAACAGAAACATGATTGGAGGTGTGTGATCAAAATCATGAATACAAAAATATTTTCTACGTGTCTAACACTATACATTTTAGTGATAGTCTTTTTATTTTATTTTTATTGAACAGAATTGTATATTGTTTTTATTCATTCTGTGACGCCCTCTCGCAACAAAAGATATATTTCTGGTATAACTGGAGCAGCAGTCCTTTAACATATATTTTTTGAATGTTGTTTTTTTATATATAAAAATATATATAAAAGAATATTTTTATTTTATAACTAAATCAAATAATTTTAAGATATTTCTGTTCTTCATGTGTATTTTGTGTATTTTAAAATAAGGGAAACAAAATCTGGTCCGGTCTAAATAAACCTGATTTCTGCGTAAATGTTTAAGCTAAGTTGTCTGTTTTATTATCTGATTACAGTTCATTGTATTCTTAATACTTAGCTATATTAGCTGGTTCATTTAGCCTTACACTGCCGAAAAAATATATATCGTTCACCATTAATTATCGTTCTTTTTGTACACAAGCTTTTTAATAGCTGGTGAACAGGAACAGTGAGTTCTGACATGTTAAGAATATTTGTACTGTTTACTATAACTGCTTTTACACTTGGTATTTAATTAAGTGTGAAAGGGTTAGGGTTATGATTAGGGTCAGATGTGAGACATGTCAAATAGTTCTTGGTGTTCTCATAAATGAATCTTATCCTTAATGTAATGTCTCCTGTGTTTGTTGTGGTGTAGTTGCTGGACTGACCGTGACGTCCTCCAGGTCGTGGCCCAGCTCGGTGGAACTGGCCACGGTCTCTCGCTCAGTGATCCACTTCTCCAGCTCCTCCACGTCCTTGTTGAGCTGATAGAGCCAGTACTGCTGCTCCAGCTTGTTCTTCCTGTGCTCCACCATGTCCTTCAGAGACACGTACAGCCGGTCTATGTGCGACTGCTGCTTGGTGAGCTGCTCACTGAAGGACATTGAGAGAAAACAGAATGTTACAGCTACCAACATGAGACGCTTTGACCATTTTACCCTAATGTTACCCAACCTATACAGTAGATATAACATGCAAATATTAAACTTTCCTCTTTTCCTGGGCTATAAGTGCTGCTTGGTGAGTGCACGTGAGACCCTGGGTCAGGCCACACCTTTCTGGGTGTCCCATTTCCATAAGAAGCTGGCATTGCTGGGTGAGCATGCCTACTGTCTCTGCATAATTTTCCACCGTTTGCTCCAGAGCCAGGTGGCCCTTCAGCAGCTGCAGGGTGCTCGCCTCGTCCTGAAAAATATCAAAAGGGTATCAGGATACAGGATTCACTTTCACATTTATGCCAACATGCACCTGTTTGACTGACGGGGCGGTCCGTACCGTTCCTTTTTCTTCATTGACCAGTTGGAGCTTCTGACCTGACAGCCAGGTCTCCACTATAGCCGCGTCGCTGTAGTACTGCTGAGACAGCAGCATGGCGTCCAGCATCACACACCTCCTCTCGGCCTCCAGCTGCAAAACCTCCCAAAGCTGGCGCACATGCCCCGCCCCTTCACGCACACATTCCACCTCAGGGGTCCTCAGCGAAGCGATGATCCCCGCCCGGTCCAGAACCTCCTCCACACGAGCCCGCCGCCCTGTCAGCTCCCTCTGAAGGGTCTGAAGGACCAATCACAGGTAAGTTCCCCGACTGAGAGGTCATATCAGCAGACCGTAACCATCATGTTTGACACTCACCTGGTTCTTCTTTACATGCTGCTGTACACTCTGGAGGTTATTCCCATAATCCTTACAGGAGGCCACGGGAAGCCTCTCCTGGATCCACAGCTATCAAGTAAACACAGTCAGGACATTACATTATTTAAGAAAGCTCTGGAGAAAACACTGATGCATTGCATGATGCAATTAAAAAAGAAATTGAGTTATTTAAATATTCTACTTTAATATAATATACTAACACAGGCGGAATTCTAAAACAGAACTAAAAACAGATTATAATATACACTGTTCAAATTGCACTTGTTCCAGCCCAAAACAGCCCACATTTCTCTCACTAAACAAAATAAGAACAAAAAAACGTAAGTTAATTCGATTTCAAACTAAATAGCGATAATACTTTTTACTGTTTTGTTATTTGCTGGTCTTTGGAATACAGTTAATCAGTTAATGTGAATGTTGAGAAATGCCTGATACCATCTTGGCATGCTTACTATGCCTGCACCACATTGTTAAAGCCTTATAACATCTACACTAACCAGTAGCAGCTTATCGTAACCATACAACATACTGCTATATATAAATAGATATAATGAATACCAATCAGCAGAATTGAACTCAGCCTATTGGTACAGCCTTCCACAACAGTCTCAGTTCCTCATTTGGGAAAATTAATCGCCCACACCTGGTGTAAATGGAAGAGGAAATATATGAAAGGTAAGGATGGGGAACTCAGAAGTGTGCACTCACTATCTCATCCTCCAGGTCTTGGGCGACTTGATGCATCTCTTTGGAGGCCAGCAGGATGCGGCGTCTCTCCTTCAGCGGCTCGATGAGGCGGACGATGCGAGTCTCCACGACGCCTGACTGCTCGCCGGCCTCCCTGTCGCCTGCCATCAGGCCTCGCTGGGGCAGGCAGACACCCTGCACGCTGCCCAGCTCTCCCACATCCTTGTAATAGTCCCCTATCTGAGACTCCATAGCCTGCAGCGGAGGGGAGGGGAAGGTCATGTTACAGCCAGCAGAGGGATGGACAAACACAGCACATCAGCTGTTTTCCTATCAGAACATTTCAGGCTTATGTATGGACTGCCTCCCTTTAAGGAAAAAGGCATATGTTGCATTTTTTATTCCACTGAACCTCATGTTTCAGAACACGCCACAATAGCAGCCTGTGTAGACACATGTCAGAGCCATAGACTGTTTATATAAAGGTCAGAGCTGAGGAACATTACATAAACAACAGTGAGCTGAAGTATGCAGTCTGACTGTCAGAAGCATTGGTTACATTCAGGCAGGTTAGAGAATTCTCATGGGCAAAGGTACTCTAGAGATATTATATAATCTTCAATAATCTTCTAACTGAGTCACTAGTCAGAGGATGTAGACAAAGCAGCACAGGTTGTTATTTTGGTTTGTGTTTAACTGAAGCCCAGGGGTGGAATGTAACTTAGTACTTTAAATGAAATACTACACTTTAATGTGAAGCACTTTACTTCACCTTGGCGACCATGAATGTGAAACATATGATTCCATGTCCTATATCCATGTCACCACCGCTAAGCTAAAGGCGGCTGATGTTCATCGTAATCATGTTAGGTAGTCATATTTAGTGCCTTGTTAGCACCCGCCTTTTTTAAGACACTTAAATGAGAGAAAATCATTTCAGGGGTATTTACTGAAGTATTTGATGTTGTAAGCTTGTTTTAACCAGTCATTATTTCAGGCATCTTACCAAAAAGTGATTCCAAAATAGAAGGAAGGAAGCAAGGAACACGGATGTTCTAAAATGCTAACTCATTTCTGGGTATAGGACTCATCCCTGCACCACTCTATAATACAGCCATGGTGAGTGACTGTGTTATTGTTTGTTCATTGGGACTCTTTACATTCAAGCTGTCAGAAACGAGCGGGGCGTGGTCAGCCCTGGCATACGGACGTTAGCAGTAGTGATGGGAACTATGGCTCTTTGAAGGGAGCCGGATCTTATGGCTCCGTTCCTTTGCGACAGCCGTTCAAAAGAGCCGGTTTTTTTTTTAAGCGGGCGGGGGTTTATCTGCAAAATATACCTTTTATAATTCAATCAAATGTAGCCCTGTTTTGACTAATGATTTACATGTGTACACATATATCACTTAAATTATTCAATACATCCTTTGTACTGAAGTATTTTCACAAGTATTACATTTTTAATATAAATGATTTGCTGTGGCCAATTGTTTTCATTGTATTTACAGACCCTTGTAACTCTCTGATTGTAGAACCACGCAACACCTATTAAACTGACAACAAATCTTTGCTGAGCCTAAAAATAATCATAAATAACATAATGAAAATAAATATCTTGCAATGCTCAAAACAGCAGCATCCAACAGTCTCTAATCCTTGGATATTAAATGTCACTGCATGCATGCACGGAGCACCCGTAGCACGGAGATCATCATATCATTCTGTCTTGTATTACTTAACAAGACCGGCTCCCGTCGTTCACTTAAAAGAGCCGGCTCTTTGAGCGACGACACATCACTAGTTAGCAGTTAGCAATTAGCTTAAGTTTAGCCATGCACAGCACTGATGATCGCATCACGGGGAACTGTAAACTTTCTGTAGCTGCCATTGTGACAACACCAAAAATGCGATGGAAAATGGTAAAATGGTAAAAGCCTTGCAATGTTAAACCCCTGATACAGTGAGTCCTTCTCTCCTCTCAACTCCTGCAAGGCACTCATCAGGGGTGCTGAGGGTTTGTCCCGGGGAACAATTTCTATGGTGAATTACGGATGAGAAAGAGGGGTGTATAGCAGCTTGCTGGGGAGTGAAATAAAAGGCATTTGGCTCTTTTTATGGTTTACTTCGATCAACTGAACAGAGAAACCATCTCATCTGAGGACCAAATATTGAGCATCGAACCTTGAGTATTTATTTATCTTTTTTACTTTCAGAGAGTTTCATTCATGTTTTTCTCTTATTCCAATGAATTGCTTTTTTCTGAATAACATTACTCTAGTTATTTTGGCTTAGGATACACATTTTAAACGGATGATGGTTTCCACCATTTTAATCACTTGTGGCCACTTGTCAGAGACCCTGGAGAGCTTTGAGACTTGCCTGGAATTTCTGGAGCTGCTCATTGAAGGTGGGCAGATGGTGAGCCTGCTCCAGCTGGGGGGGCTGCTGCTCCAGGTGGGAGAGCTGGTTGTCCAGGTCCGAGTAGCTCTTCACCGCCGGCTCAGGCTTGTTGTTTTCAAAGAGCTGGCGAGCCTTGGCCTTGGTGGTGCTCTCCAGGTCGGACCAGCACTCTCTGATCTCCACCAGCTTCTGCTGGACCACCGAACGGAGCTCGGGCTTCTCCTGGATCAGTTCCTGACCCTCCTGGAGTTAGAAAATGAACTGATGTCAAAGCACTGATCAAAACACCAATCTAAGTCACTATGTATTTTCTATGTATCTGATTTAAAAATATACATGATATGTTGGACTGTCATTTCTTGGCTGAGTGGCTGTGCGCTCTCCCTCGACTCTAAAATGTCAGCTTCTGCTTCGAGCCACAGTTCCTATGGGCTAGATGATTGTTGCTTCACTTGGTACCAGAAATCAGTGAACTGCATCCATTTTCCACCATTTTAGAATTCTAGCAGAAAGGTCTCTAAATCAAAAAGTATTCATTTAAAGTAGGTGGGGTAGGTAAGTTTGAGAAACCGGCTCGAGATACACTTTTTGTTATATTCCATGGAATGCTCTTAACATCCCGATAGCAATGAATATCTTAAGTGCTTTGACAAAAAATCCATAAAAAAATGTCATCTGTGGAAGCCGTAGTACTGTAAAAAGTACGACCAATCATTTTAGCCGGTCCGGCTAAAATAACTGGATGGCCTACCTGCCTGTCAGCCTTCCATCTGTGCACACACTTATCTCGTGCCCTCATTGGTCATGTGCGCGTTCGTGTGTGTTGGAGGAGGGGCTCTGTAAGGAGGTGGCAGATTTTTTCCGGCTGTGTATTTTCAAATTCTAGCGATCTCGAGCTGGTTTCTCCAAAATTACCTACCCCACCTTTAAATTTTAAAAAAATTACATTTTTTAAATGAAAGCCCTATTGCAAATCTCCACACACACATGCCATTCTGATGAAATAATAATACATTTATTATAAATAAATAATAAAATAATAAATATAAAACAAGATCGTTTTATATTTATTATTTTATTGCATAAAGACAATGTTGAAATCACATTTACTCGTGCTGAAATTGAGTGGCTAAATTCAGTTTTGTCCCTAAAATAGCTCGTCAGAGAGGCAGGTGTATGGAGCAAAGTTTGGCTGACCTAAAAATCCGGTAATTCTAATAAACTGTCCTGTGCTCTTCTGCCCCTCCTCCCTCCCCTAAATCTAGGGCTAAATCATGACGTGATTTGTTGAGGAGATTCTGGGAGCTCAAGGCTTTGGGCACTTCCCTTTGTGTCAATGAAACTGCACTGAAAAAACTAAAACATTGACTTTAATTAAATGTATTTTGTCAACAGATTTCACATAACTGTATTAGGTTAGTTGAAAGCAATTATATTACGTTTTAATGCAAAATATTAGGTTCAACTAAATATTATTGGTTTCAACTAACCTAATATGTGAAATCTGTTGACATAAGACATTTAATTAAAGGCAACGTTTCAGGTTTTTTTAGTGTGTTCCCTTAAATCGATTATAGTCACACCTTCACGACTCTTTTCAGATTTGGTCTATTGGAAGATTATTTTAGACATTTTTCTTTCACACATGATAGTTAATGATGTAATCATTATTTCCTTGTATTGTCACAACAACCATGCACATGATGGATTGTATCCTTTACATTGTGCTTCCCTCCTTTATCTCTCACAGGGAGCTGGACCTATATCCTATGGCTCTCATAATGCAGTGCTGCATTCCTCCTCTTGGCACAGGCTCTCTGCTTAACTGCTGCTAGCGCTCACTCTCTCTCAGCCTCTCCTATCTTTCCTCAGCCTCGCTCTGCCTCTCATAATGCAGAGCCAGCAGAAAGCAGGTCTCTCTCTCTCTCCTCTCTTGGCTTTACTGACACACAGAGTGAGGTAGAGGGAGAACAAATCAGAGAGGGGGTGGAGAGAGGAGAGGGGAGAGGCAGCGTAAAGGAAGAAGCAAAAGGAGAAAGAATCAAAGGTTGGTGGAACAGGAGCGAGGCTGTGTGTGTGTGCTGGGCAGCCTGTGCGCGGTTGGATCCAAAGGGCATCTGTGAAGTGGATTTTCGAGGCGATCATGGCTGGCGATATTATAATGCCGAGCAAATATGATCATGCTATTATGGAAGCATCGTGTTGCCAAATTCTGCAGGCTTTCTTGTAATGCTGATGCAGCAGAGTGTAAGGTGGGTGGAATAAAGGGCTTGGTTTACACTACTGGCACAAACAACAATGAATTCACTCCCACTGAATGCATACAAGTAACACTATGCAACTTAGGCTTTTAACTGCAGACCATTCAAAGAGTCATAATGCTGCAAATAAGACAAAATGCAGCTTCAAACCAACCCACAATGCAACAGTAACACAGTGCATAGAGTGGTGCAGTGATGATGTATTTTTGTAGACCCGGAAGTTAGCATCGCAAGTGCTCCCTTAATCAAAACCAATATCCACTCTGGATTTCGGTATATTGCATCAAATAAAATATTTTGCAAACATACGTTTATGATACTTGTGTTTTGTTCAGCAGGATAATCTCCGCATATAAACATTACTTTGTCATTTTTGAAGCGCAAGTGCATTTGGCAGAAGAAAAAAGCTAACGGTAGGCTACAAACGAAATATACTACGACCACATGGCAGCGCATCAACAACGCTAAGCTAAGGTTGGACTTGTGTCGGTGTGAAGACGTTTTGTCGTTTATTTAGTCACTTTTTAGTAACCGCTGTATTTATGACACGTACAAGCTTTGGAAATTCACGAGTGGAACTTTCACTAATGTATTTTCTGCCAAGGGCTGTGAATGGCTTCAATGCTACGATACAGCGGAATATGATTTTTGACAAACTATAAATATCCCGTACATTTTCATAAAATGATCAAATAAAGTCAACATTTCACTGTGTTAACTGAGTTGTGTGCTGTTTCTTAAGCAGCTTTTTTAACATGACATGTTTGAATTCTGATAAATACAATCATTTGAATTGGGATTCATGTCGATACGAGTGGACAGGAGCACAAGCAACCATTTCCTTTCATTATTCCTATTTAATTCAATTTCCACCAACTGAAGGTATATTTCTTGTTGTTGCCCACATTTATAAATCTCATTATGTAGTTCATTTATAGTGCAGTGCAAATATATTTCAAGCTGTGAACAGCTTTACACATTGCTGTTTTATAACATGATCATGACATGACTGGCTTTACTGTATAACTGGCAGTGTTTCAAATCATCTGCCACTTTGAACATTTCATGTATTTATATCATTCTTTAATTATGACTTGTATTCCTTTTTTCCCCTAAAACAACTGCACCATCAGCCCAACATATTATTCTACAGCTCTTTTGCTTGTTTATGTCTGTCTGTGCAATATCTTTTTTACTCTCTGTTTTACCTGCCCAAAATATTAATCGCCATTGTGGATTAATAAAGTTGAATTGAAACAAATCGAATTGAATTAAAATGAAGAGCAAATAAAGATGACAAGGTTTCACATTTAACTTAAATGGTGATGTTTGTATGGAACAGAATGTCCTAATCTAAAGCAAGCACAGTTGTTTTTTTACCGTATTTAAAAATATTGATTACATTTGTACTTTTGTAAAAATGTTGACTTCATTGACCAGGTCGATAACAGTCTAATATAATAACCCATACACGACAGCCATACAGACACTAAAGAGCTGGTTGGAAGGTTTTAAAATGGAGTGTGGAACATTTGTCTCCCCCCTTTGGCAGAGAGAGAAATCACAATATGTGAAAACATCTTGTTTTACTATTTGATTGATTTTAAACAAACAATACTCCTTCATATTCATGAATTTCAGAAAATGGAACATTTATCACCATATTCACACGATAAATACATTTTGAAGTTTGTAAAGGTAGGATTACAACTTTTCCTCAGCCCCATCCGCCTCCTTCCCGACATCTCCCCGATGTAATGAATGTCAGGCCCATAGTAACACAGCAGGGGGTTTTACTCTCATTTTAAATAAAAACTAAGTCTTGGCTTTTGGAATATGAACTTATTGTGAGCAAATTCAGGTGATAAATACAGCTTTGAAGCTTTTAAATGGTATAATGACAAGTGGCAAATGGAACAACTCAATGACACAGTCATCACAATACGTGTGTGTGTGTGTGTGTGTGTGTGTGTGTGTGTGTGTGTGTGTGTGTGTGTGTGTGTTGTGTGTGTGTGTGTGTGTGTGTGTGTGTGTGTGTGTGTGTGTGTGTGTGTGTGTGTGTGTGTTCCTCAGCAAATACACACATACACCATCTTCCTATTTAATACAATGGATGGATCCCCCCATGGACAATAAGGTGCTGTTTTCACCAACAATTATCCCAAAATAGGGGACATTTTTGATTGTAAATTAGAAGGTGTGTTGTGGAACCCTTAAAATCACATGTGGATAGTCTGAGGCCCAGACTGCCTTTGATGTATTTACTTATCTAAAAACTAAAGATATCTGCTTATTGGATGATATTTCTTCTATTTTAATATTGTCTATTTTCCCTGCTGTTGCTTGGATTTTCATGTGCCAAATGGTACTGGTCTATAAAAGTTGACGTGCAATTATTTGTTTATGCCAATTCTGTTTAATTTAACACATTTTGATGAGCAAGGGTGTTGGTGTGCATGGGCATATTGGCATGCACAAGGACATGTAGCCTTCATGCACACTTGAGTGAACATTAGCCTGTGCTCAAAAGAGATAACCCGAAGTGCACAAGTTAGACTTAAATTGTATATTGATGACCATTCGTGGGTATGGGCGCCAACTTCGCTCTGTGGGCACATAAGCAAAGTCAACGTTTTCCTTCAATTTTTTCATTGATAGGCGTGCACGTGGGAATTGATGTGCATGTGTATGTGAGTGCCCCATACTAGTACTTCTTAAAGCCAAGATACCATCAAAGTGGGCTAACAGCATTTCTTAATCCTATATCACTTTGATTCCCAAACTGTTGTACATCACTGAGGGTAAGACACTTTAGCTAGGTGGTACACAAGACCCCACTGAAAGGCCTTACAATTGCCCTTTGACTGGTCCAAGTCCTAAACTAAAAACCAAAAAAAGGGGTCATATTATATAATACCTTAACGACTGAAGGTCTATACAGTATATGTGTTACTGAGTTCCCATCCATTATCATGACAACCTTTCCACCAATGGTATTTCGTTTTTAGTGTGTGCTAAGGACAAGAGGCAGTGCATTTGTGAGGTCATTTGGATCACTGATTCTGTAGAAAACTGCAACAAACCAGTCCATCTGCACTGAGCTGGGGTCTGTATCAACACAATTCCATTCAAATAAACAAGAACATAACAATATTGCTCTCATTACAAACCAAATGTACCGGTGAATTACGATTCACCGTATTCAAGGAGCATTGATCCCTCTTATTCTATGAAAATGCTACCCAATACACAGCCACTGAGAGGTCGAGTGGGTTAATTTACCCTCAAGGTATAATAGCTCAGGGAGATGCCTGTTTCCGGGCCCATAGCTTCCTGAAAATATGTCCCCCTGAACATTACAGGTAAAGGGGCCCTATTTTCAAATGTTCAGGTTTGTATGTAGTGTCTCTACTGGGACATGTCTCCATGCTTTCATGTTCAAAAAGCTCTTTATTTTTCTCATACTGCCTGTGCTGCAGCACCTCTTTTCACCCTCTGTCTGAAACCAGAGCCCAGTCTGCTCTGATTGGTTAGCCTGTATATTGTTAAATAATCCGTTAAACATATGAGCAATAAGATGAAACATGCTTGGCAGTAGGTTATGAGCTCACACTAGAACAGCATGAACACTTTGATAACAACACACTTAACACCATTTCACAGTGTGATATTATTATGTACTAGTGGCAAATAAATTACAGGAGAAATTAATTTATTCATTTTTATACCAATCAAATAATCGTTAGTTTGAAGAAAAACTCGATAACCCTGTAATCATATAGTCTAGTGCTTAAAATAGCCACAAACAGACAGGGTGGTAAAGTTACGAGAGTTTAAATCTCTTTCACAGAACACATTTTCACGTTTTGTGTTGGTAACATTAAATAGAGCATACTATGCTCATTTTCAGGTTCATGTGTGTATTGAGTACCTCTACTGTGACATTGTACACACGGCATCTATTGCACGTCTGTCCGTCCTGGGAGAGGGATCCCTCCTCTGTTGCTCTCCCCGAGGTTTCTCCCATTTTTTCCCTTTAAACTGTGGGTTTTTCTCCAGAAGTTTTTCCTTGTACGATGTGAGGGTCTAAGGACAGAGGGTGTCGTTTTTTCTCATACTGATATTCTGAACAAACTGTGCTGTTGTATTTGCTGTAAAATGTCTTTACTGTAGGGTATTTTTACTATTTGTACAGCACTTTGGCTCGACCAAAAATCGTTTATAAATGTGCTATATAAATAAAACTTGATTTGATTTGATTGTTGTTCTCACTGTAACATGTCAAAATGTCTTCAGTAAAATAACGTTTTCTGAGAGATGCATTTATAGTTTTTTTCTATTGTATTTTTGTATACAGTAGGTATTATTTGATCATGACATGTATTGACAACGAACATACATTGACAAATATGCCAAATATATTTATTAAGTGAAATAAAGTCATCATGTCTTGGTAAAATTCTACCTGCCAAAAACAAAGTAGAAGGTAAAGAGTAATGTATCATTTTAATGTTTTTGTTATTTTTCCTTGAGCCAGGGTTATTTCCCCTTTGACCCCACCTGATTGGGGCCTGGATGATCCCAATCATCGTTAAATGTATTAGGTACCAGCCCCTAGACATACATCAGAGTGATATAGTGCCAATATGTTAATATGCAAATAGTGTGTGTTCATTAGTCTGTCACTAAATGTGCTCCAGCTGGCTCATGTTTTTCTCTGTGTGCTGATCCCAGAGCCTAAGGCTTGGCACAAGGTCAGCTGTGAGTCCTCTCACTGTAACAGAGAAGCTCCCACAGATCCTCCACACACCAGGCGGCATGGACCTGTGTGCAAGGCTTCATGTGCTGAGTAAGTACTGAGAGAACAGAGGAGAGCGGCCGAGGCAGGAACCCTTCCAAAAGGACGCAGAGTTCTCTGATCGCGGCAGGACGCGGCGTCATCTTTTCTGTCTCTCAGGTAACGGCAGAGAGAGATAGGGGGAGATTGAGTGATGTTAGCAGGGCTATAGAGACATGAGGGTATATGTAACTGTCTGTACTGAGCTACATGCATTTTTGGAGCGAGAGAAAACTCCTGTGGAGCAGCCATCTTCTGCACTCAGTGTGAATCCTTTCAGTTCATTAATCTGGAGTTTGGCACGGTTATACACATTTGCTGATGATTCAGAAGTAGAACGGTATCCTGTTTCAGTCCGCTTTTATTTCAAGCTGAGATGTCATCCTAGTTAGAGGACCTCTACATGTCATGTGATCATTACTGTTGTGATAGACAGAACATTAACTGATTATTATTTCAAAAAATAGTCAAATGTATTTTACACGTATGGCAACTGGTAATGACTCATGGTTGTGGTGGCAATGTGGACGCCAACCATTCAATACAACTGTCAATGGTTCCATTCCGCTCCAGGAGCTTTGTTGCTTTTTGTACCCTTACCCAATTTATTTGTGTTCTTCTAAGACCCAAATCTATTCAGTTACAATGATAAAAAAAACAGAGAAAAGCAGATCACTGCATTTAAAAGCTAGAATTAGAGATTGGTTACATGTTTTGCTTGAAAATGGCGGAAGCCTAAACAATTCGGCGATAATCAAAACATTGCAGCTTACTCTTCTGTCAATTGAGTAATCAATAAATCCCTGAATCTTTTTTTTACATTGTAGAATCCGAAAGAAAAAAAAGTATGTAAAAGCTAAGACCTCATTTGGTTTGATTCCAACCTGGCAGTATTTTACAAACATGGCCGCACAGCTTCAGGGACTAAACCTAGGAACCAGGAAACCTTCTACCACGACAAACCTTGAAATACATTTCACACATGGACAACCCACATGGCTAATGAGGATTTCCTCATTAGGTCATGTGTTGGGCTATGGTTATAATTAGTTACACTGCTATCTAATGAATATTTAATAATAGGCCTAGTGTATATACTAAAAATGAATGTGTAAAAAATCTATACAGTCTAATGAATTTCTTAATGTATTCAATACAAAAATTAATAATTAAAACACTTGGAAATGTCAACAAAACCTCTCATGGTATTATTAGAGATGTAAATACATTTCAGCAAGGTCAAAGTCTGATAAATCTCACCCACACAGCCATCCCATCACTCAGCATTTTCTTCTAATTGTTTGTCCATGATCCTCTTGTCAGGTATTTTAGTCACAGTGATTGCCATAGTGGTAGAGCACTCCTTTACTTGTAGATGTTCAGTACAAGTAAGAACACATTGCTGACAGGACACACTTTACACAATCAATCTTTGTGATTGTGATTTTTTAAATAAAAAATAGCAGAATTATGAGAATAGAAAACAGGTGTGTCTTATGTCTTATGCTTGGAGGCTGAATGCAACAGAGCAGTCCTAGTTTAATCTAAATCCCATTTACCTCTGATATCTCATCAATCTGAATCAATCATTAAACAGCACACACCTTAGATCAGCAGTTTTGTATGAATAGTTTAGAAGCAAAGGTTTATAAGAATGTTACCATGTGCTGAACACAACAGCTAAATCACACATTATTACACAATGCATGTTTCTACGTTAAGTAACATTTGGGTTTTTGAAAATATGTGTAAAATTAAATTAAATGTTTTATTCTCTACATGACCTCCTCATCAGGAATTTCACACGTGACTGAAATATTAAACACATTTTTCTAAAGAATAGCAACAGTATATTTGTGGTTTAAATTGGCGAGATGCAACATGCCATTAGCAGAAATGGAGTCTCATTGACTAATTCATATCTCACCTCAGCTTCACTGAGGCAGAGGGCATGGAGAACATTCTGTGTGGATGGAATGGTGCTCTGTCTTGGAAGCAAAGCATGTTGGGAATCTGGGGCAATAAAATCCAACCTGAGAATGTTTTCATGATGTGAACTGCCTTTACGTATGTCCCTAACAGATACCATAGGGGAAAAGAAGAATCTGCAATCTCTGTATGTACAGTATGGCCTTTTCTGCTGCAACAATTTCAGTGTCCTCTATATGATTAACTGTAACCTCCATAACTGAGCAATGAAAATCATGTGGCCTAACGTCTGTGCAGAGAGAGCAAAGATCCACAGGGATCCTGCCACCTGTGAACCTGAACACACAGCCACTATAGCAATATAACCTTGAGAATGTAATTCAGGATGTCCCCGAGCAAAGTGATGAAATGAAAGCTGAGTGATGACATCTCTCCCACTTTTCCCTATTCTATATTACTGCCACCACACCCACTGTTACTCATGTCCCCCCCCCCCCCCACCGACTCACCTGCCTATCTGACCTCCCCGTCCCTCCATCCTTCCATCATGGTGCCCTGATCACCTCTACTCACCTGTTCTATCTTGGCGAGCCATTCCTTATTGCGGGCCAGTTCCGCCATAAAGGCCTGGTGCTTCAGCCACTTCCTGTGAAGCTTTTGAGCCTCATCCCGCGCCGTGTCTCGGGCCATAAGCATCTTCTCTTCCACCCGCTGTCCCAATCACTCAGCTAGGGGAGACAAAAATAGCCACCATCAGGAGTCCAACGCTCGAGCCAGCCCTTCTTCCCCCCCTTTCCCACAGGACGTCCTGCCTGCCTCCAGTACGCAAGAGCCCCCCGCTCTGCTCTGCAGGGGCCTGGCTACCTGTGCTATCACCACCCACCCCAACCCCCACCAGACACCCTTTTCTGTAGAGAAAAAAAAAATCAAGATAAGCACCTCAGCAGCAGTGGTAGCAATTGAAGCACTCAAGCCCTTCCTTTGGGTTGCCCCTGGGTCCTCATGCCCTACTGCTTCATGGGTCTTGCGGTCCTGATGCTGCAGTGCCTGCTAGCCAGTCTCAGAGAAGGCAAAAACAACCAGCGAAATAGAGGAAATGCGCCAATGACAACACTGGTACAGAATGACACACACCTCCAAGATTCTTCTCGGGTTGTGGGTTATCTTCTAGCTACAAATGACGATTACAATCCAGCTATCAGTGAAGGTGTAGATGTAGCATAGCCACAGAAGAATCTTTCAGCCGGGGCAAAACCTGACCATCCACCACTCGCCAGTCCCAGTCAATCTGTAGTCCGGGCTAATGATGCTGTAGACAGGAGGAGGAGGAAGAGTTGGAGTGGGAGGAGCAGGGTGAATGGGATGCAGAGGCAGTGCAGAGGAGGCCGGATAACATAAGCTATCCACTCGTGAAATGCATGGTTCCTTCCGCTGCAAAGATGTACGCGCAGGCGGCTGTGAGATAGCACACTATTTTCTCTCCTCAGTTCCCCTTCCTCGTGTCCCCGAACAGCTCAGCCGCGCTTGGTGCATGCTGCTGCAGTCCTTGCCTCTCAGCTACACTCCTGTGTGTGCGTGTGTGCTTGCGTGAGTGTGTGTGTGTGCAATCACAATCAGCACTGCAGTGCCGGAGCAGAGAGAGAGAGAGAGAGAGAGGGAGCGAGAAGGAGGGGAGAGAGGGGGGAGACAGCAAGGGAAGAGGGAGACAGGTTAGAGGAAATGGAGAAAGGGGGAGCGCCAGAGCAAAAAGAAGAAGAAGGGAGCGCAAGTCAAAAGAGGGAAAAGATGGTGTTGGTGGGGGGGTAGTAAAACAGAGAAAGGAAGAGAGAGCCTGCGTCATCCCTCAGTGTCACCAGGGACATTTCTCTGCACTAGAAATGACTGCACTCAGAGCGGGAGCGGGATTTGGGAAGGAGGGGGAGGTGTCGTTTAAAACAGCTGAATGAGAAGGATGCACACATGCTCCACGGTGCAGCTGACTGATTCGGATCACTGTTCACGCTTCCTCTTTGAGGGGACCTGCATGTGATCCTGCTGCTGCAGAGATGTCACTCGGGTGAAGAGGGTGCACACATTTTAACCGTGTACTAATGCTGCTCCCAGATCTGAATTATAGATAAGCAGGACAAAAAGATTTGTTCTGGGTTCATTTCTCATTTTTGACTGAGCATGTGCTGCAGCATTGAATTTGTATTTATTTGTATTCTGTTTGTTAAAAATATTACATTTTTGTTATCAAATTCGATCATCCTCAGAATCCAGAGGAGATTAAAGTTGCATGAGTAACAGAGTGAAGTGCAGCACTACCATTAACCACCATGTTGTGTTTTTCAAGTTGGTTGTGTATTCTTTTTGTGATAGTTCAGAATTGAATAGACTAGTCAGGTGCCCATTTTGAAATGGCCAATTGCTTTGCTACAACTCTTCCAAGTTGTAGCATTGGGGACTTGCCATTGGGAATACATCGGTATGGTTGTTTGCAACTGCTAAATGTGTAGTCGATTGTATACACGGTTCTCAAGATATGTGGCGGACAGACAAACAAACATACACAGACATCTGCTGGACCATCACCGATTTGCAAATAGTAACCAGAATAAGTCCAGAATATCTACACATTTACACAAGATGTGGTCACAATAGCAAGAATTGTAAGGAGAAATAACGTTTTTTGTAATGTCAGCCCTGTCCACAGTATTTCAGCCAACTTTGAGAACCAGCTAATGGACAGAATGTTACAAATATGAAAAAGCGACTTCACTAATAAATCTGGTGATGAAAACACACTATTGAAACCGGAGCAATACAACTGCCAAGTGTAACGCCAATCAGATCAACTGTTCTCGAGATATGATAAGGATAAACCCACAGACAGACAGACAGACAGACAGAGAAAACGTCCTTCCTTTATAGTTACATTAGTGCAGCCCCTGTGCAAAACATGCCTGTCCAGAACGGGCCGGATGCATGACCTCTGATATTGCTGCTCGCAGCCATTCCAAGAAATGCTCAAGCAGGCAACAATTTCAATACACCTGCCATCATGATGTTGTTGCGTCACACAGAGCGTGAATTAGATTAGAAACTGTTTGTTGCCTTACATCCAGCATCCATGTAAGGTTACTTATCCAGGATTGAACTATGAGTTGCAAACTGTAAAAGGACTACTGCAGATGACATACTAAAGTCTGCAGAGCCCTGAAGTTTAGAAATATTAACATGTTGCCTGTCCTAATTGCAACAAAGGTAATAAAGCCCAGCAGTACAACAGCCAAGTATAAAGTATATCGGATGAATGGTTCTTAAGATATGTGAGGAAGGTGTTAAGTGCTGTAACTTAGACAGCATATGTTGCAAGATGTTCTTATACACTGTTCATAGCTATACCTTTCTAAAATCAATGCACTCACTCAATCAATGATTTGTGTATATATCATGAAATTATTTGTCTGTATTGCATGAAATTGTCAACCGGGGGTTAAGTATTTGCACGAAGAACAATGCACAAAAAACTACAATGTGTTTGAACACCCTGAGAGGTTTGAGAGGCTGATGTACATAATAATAAAAAGATTTTTGGAAAATTATTTGTTCTTTAATTTTTGCATTTTCTCACTCCAATAAAGACTTTGTCTGACAAACACGCCCACCACACTAACGTTCGGGGAAATGCGCTGAACTTTCAAAAAACATATAAAAACAGAACTGTGCCAAACCACATGCAAATTAAGAGATATCTTCTCCAATTTGACAACATGTGTGCAGCATTTAGAAAACATTCACCAACTTGATGAAACATGCGCAGCCACAGCTAAAAACGCTGCATAAACAAAACGCTGCAAACACAAAGCGCTGCAGATAAAAAAATGCTGCAAGAAAGCTCAAAACACATGGAAACTAAAAAGTGATGCACACAGTTGGGACAGAAGCACTTGACGTTCAAGGATTATAAAGTTGGCCAACAATCATTGTCACTGGAAAGTTAAAGGATGGAACCATGGATGAACAAAGATAACTGGATACAGCGGATGCTCAGTGCCACATAAAGCTAAAATGGTCTGACACTAGAAAAAATACCTGTATGTTCCAGGGATCTTCCGGCAGTTGGTTCCATTTAGCATGCGCACTTAAGTTTTCCTTAAGTCCTTCATCCAATCCGCTTCGTCATTGGCAGCGTCACTGCTGGTCATGGTTTGCAGTTGTCTCCCAATGGGAAAAAGTATCTTCAGGTCAATGATGTCATGTGTCAGACACAGAAATTGTTAGACCATTGTTAGGCTCTTACGGAAATTTGCTTTAGCATTTAGCTCACTTCCTGGGGGCCTGGGTAGAACATTAAAATGACGCACGAAATGTCTCTTATGAGAACGCACAAAGAGCCTGATGAAAAAACTGGATAGATAGTAACTTGGCAACCACCATTGTAGTACAGGTTATCCCTTGGTAGGGTTATAGTTTTGTTTCGAGCGAGCTAAGTCAAAGAAAACCTGGCTCTGTCAAACTTGCTTCCTCATACAGTCCACAGGCCCTGATCCTCAAATGTAGCTTAACTCATTTGGGCCAACAAGCAGGCCTGAATATTCAATTTACATGTTTGATAAGCCCCGAAACAACATTGGTGGTCAGCTTTTTTCTCCTTTAATAAATCAGACAAAGGGACATGCGTTGGAGCCTCGGAGAGATTGAAATGCTCTCAATGCACTCCTTCACATTATCTTACTTGCCAACAGATGCAACCTTTACATAGGTTACATTGTTGTTATTCTTTTATATAAGCTGAGTGTGCATCGTAACACAAGAATTACATTTTTTATAAGGCTTGGTCAAATAACTTGTAAATCAAATGCAAAAGTTAGCTGCTACAGCTAATGTAAGGTTGGGTTGGTAGAGATGCTAACGGTGGTAGCTTCCTGATTAGCTTGCTTGTCATAATCCTGAACATTTTCATCCTTTGTGTTTGACAAAAAATGTGTCAAATTAATTGCACACTTCTTAAGAGAGAATGCTCACCCACATATTTTTCTTGGATTGCTTTTTGTTTGCTGCTTTTCAGGACAATGGACAGTGATTGTCGCAGGCCTGGCTAAGTCTTTTATAGGCAGTTACGTAGCTGTGTTGATTGGGAACCCTCCCAGCATGCTCTAAGGCAGTAGTTTTAATGACATTTGTATGTGTTTTCCTGCATTGTTAGTTGTGTCATGTTGTTCTACAATGTATTTATTTTAAGCTATTAAAAGTTGTTTTTAAAAGATTAGCTTCAGGCTTATGATTATCACTGAAAAGGATCTTGAATGTCCATTGGGAACCCACATCCCATCATGCACCAATATCTCATGTAATATCTAATGGAAACAATGAGGATCAAAATGTAAAACTAAATCACGAGTAACAATGCAGAGGCACACATAAAAGAGACTTTCTCAACACACCTACCTTGATTTCATCCCATTGTCATTTTTTTCCTCCTTAATACTTTCCGTCCTTGAGAGATGCACGGACGAGATGTATGGATGAAGGAATCCTCATTTGGAAATGCAGTCAACGTGATCAGCTTTCATATGACAGGCTGATTACTGCAAGTCTCCTTGTGTTGCCTTTATTTGATCAAAATAGTTTCAACAAGTCAATCCTCAAACTACTTTGAAAGAGCTGCATGAGAGTAAACAGGATTATTGATCATTTGAAGCATCTGAAGAACAACTTCCCTGTGTTACATGTAAATAATATATCACAGATAAGCCATAATAACACACAAAACCAGGATACTAATGTGCATGTGAATGTACTAACTGCTATCCTTTACGTTGCTAAAATGCCTGAGTACTTACGTGGCTGCTTCTTAGGAAATTGTGTGTCTGTGGTTTTCAGTGCTTGGTCATCTCTTTTCCTATGTGCAATTTCCTCAAAGAATGATCCTAAATCAGTCATTTAATTTCTACTACCTTTACAAATGTCATAAAGTAGTGATTTTTCAACACTACCCTAAAAGTATAATTTCCACTAGCAGCCACTACAGGCTTCCTTGTCCATACGACAAATAAAAGCAAACGTATACGACACAACAAATATAGTAATGCATGTTTGTTCTGATTTCCATAAGGGCAAATATAGGGTAAATCAAAGAAAGTCTGTACCCATAGGAGCATGAAAGATTCCAGCAGATATTGTGACTTTTACTAGTTTAGTGCACAATAGAAGAACATCAACATAGGTTAACTATTCAATGACTATGTCTTACACCCTTGCTCTACCCTCATCCACAGTACACGTTATAATGTGAAGGATTAGGAGAGCAACCCGATAAGACTCACACAATTTGCCACTGATTTTGATTTTGACACAAACGTCCCAGGTGGGCGGGACTTTCAGGGGTGCTTGATGTTTGATAAGCCCCGAAACAACATTGGTGGTCAGCTTTTTTCTCCTTTAATAAATCAGACAAAGGGACATGCGGTGGAGCCTCGGAGAGATTTAAATGCTCTCAATGCACTCCTTCACATTATCTTACTTGCCAACGGATGCAACCTTTACATAGGTTACATTGTTGTTATTCTTTTATATAAGCTGAGTGTGCATCGTAACACAAGACATTGGCTACTCAGTTTTTGAGTGACAGCCCACTACACCACAGATCATACAGTGCAACTCATGCAGCAAACTCCGGAGTCCACTCGGCCACGTTTGTGTTGGTGTCAGTTTCTCCGTGACCACTATGGTACTTGCACATTTTGATCGTTATTGCTTCCCGCTACATAAAACTTCTGTTTAATGCATTTACTGGTCGTCATGAAATAATTGAGTCCTGATCGACAGCACCAGTAGCAGGCTGCTAGCGTTAGCAGTACATTGAGTTCGAAAGGTCAGGATCCATGACCACACTGGCCGTTTCTCAATGTCGAGTATACCTGCTGCAGAGCCACTATTTCAAGTATACTACGTCATCGAGTGGCACCGAATGCTGGGCATTTAACATGCATTTAACATGCATTTAAACAGTCCTTCGGCGCCACTCGAAACAATTAATCTTGAATCTAAGGCATGTGTTACGAACTGTTAAGTAGGCGGTTGTGAAATATACCATCTAACATTTCCACCTACCTTAGTCTCAAAGAAAATGCCTTTTAGCTTGTCAGCTGTGTAGATCATTTTCTGCCACTAGATGGTAACCTTTCAGCCATTGATTCCCCTGAAAAATGTTATATGATGAAAAAATAGTTTCTGTGTGTCGAGATATTTAGAAAGTCTACACAGCTTCCTTTGCAGATTGAATACCAGATTGTTTTCTCAAAAAGGGTTTGGTTTTCGAAGCAGATGTACTTGCAGGATTCTTGCTATTATGAAATTGTATCTTCATGGTTGATTGAACTTATTGTAAATTGCATTAGACAAAAGCGTAAGCAAAATGTGTTCTACTTCAGAGCACAAATAAAATGTTTACAATCAAGAACATTTCTTGAAAAGTTTGCGTGTCTACCAGTAGACAGGATGGACGTACAGTTGTCGGTCTGCATCTTACAGTATTGCATCATTAAAAACACCAGAGTAAATGGTGAATTTAAACATCCCAATTGAGTGAAGTGTTTAAGTTTGATATCTATTTCATTTTTGCGTCAGCGGTAGCAGGTTTACGGTTTGAATTTATGCATTCTATCCTTGCTTCAAAATGGTGGAACAAGCTCCCTATTGATATCAGGACAGCAGAAAGTAAGTCTACACATCTTCCATTGTAGACTGAAAACCCACCTGTGTCCACTGCACCTTGGCCATTAAACCTAACATACACAAAAAAGAGTATGAGTAAATATTTCAATTTAATTGATTACTCAATTGAAACTAATGCACCAGCACTAAAGTGATGATATAGCACATGTACCTGCAGGGTTCTTGCTGTTCTGAGTTTGTGTTTTCATGGTTTATTGCACTTATTGTTAGTAGTTTTGGATAAAAAAACATCTGCTTAATAAAATGTGATATAATTAAATACAGTTTATCCTGCTTTATTATTCCACCGCTAAATTAACAGCGTGGACCTATCCAAGGCAGGCCCTACTGCTGATACATACCTGAACACGAATGCGCAACTTAGAACAATACATTAATAAAAAGCCAACTAAAAACCATTAAAAACCTCCCCATGAACACTCGGAGAAGGCGGAAGCAGCGACATCAGGGGGCGGCTCTGCGGTAACACCAGCAGGAAACAGGCAGGAGTAGAGGAACCTCAGCGTTAGCGTGGACAAAAGAACCGGACCGTTTATAGCGGCGCACTCACGTAGCCTCCATGACAGCTAACAGTTGACAACAGTAAGGTAAACAGGCTTCCTTTATTTAATGTAACGCTACCTTGTAACAAGCAGCTGTAGAGCCTTTAATGTGCTCTCAGAAACAGAGCGTGTTAATAAAGAAAAGACTGTCAAAATAAATAAAACATTCTCACAAAGCAGATGAAATAGCGTTAATATTTGTAGTATTAGCGCAGCCTTACAACGAAAGTGTTATTATTCCAATGATGTATTGAAAATATAGTGTTCGGGTTAAAAAAATAAAAACTAGCAGCCCAACTGAGTGTTTGCAAAATGAATAAAGGAATACATTTGGAAAATATGAGCTGTGGATGCTGAAGAGAGCATTTGGAAAACATGAGCTGATCAAACTAACTAAATTAAAACGATGCATTTTATGTGTAGTTAATTGAAATGAACAAAGTGGTGCCAAAAGTGTATTTCTTTGTATTTGTGCACACAAGAAAATACATGCAAACATGTTCATTCAGTTAGCCATGGAGAGACTTAGCATTGGATAAATCACAACCACCTCATCCAGCGTTAGTGTAGTTTAAAGATGGGAGACAATAGTGCGTTAATATGTGATCATATTCTAATATGAGACTACTGACAGGGGGTCAGGTGGCTTAATCACTTTGAATTTAACGGCTAATAATGTTTTCATGTTTATTTTGTTATTTGTTTGTTGTTGTTTTTTCACCCTACCTTAGCATGGTCTTGTAGATAATAGTATCTGGAATATTAGATCTGCAATTTGATATCCCCCAGACCTTTAGGAAGGTGCATGTACAAACTTGTCCTAAAGTACGCTCATGTAAATGAGAAATGTTAACATGCATGTGTGATGGAAAGGCCGTTGACTGGCCTGCACTGGTCTCTAACCTCAACCCCATCCCACTGAGTGTTTATTTTACCACAGTAGCCAATACTGATGACAGACATCCTCTCATGATCTCTTTTGCAGTTGATGTTGGCCTCTCTGTCCACGATGATGTCACATGGCTTTAAGAGCAGTAAGCAGGACTTCACCTTTGGACCATGGAAGGTGACTGCAGCCAGAAACCACATCATGAAGTCCAAAGACATTGAAGGGTGAGATACTGTAGGCACCAGATATACATTTGTCTTAAAGGTGAGGTAGGTAAGTTTGAGAAACCGGCTCGAGATACACTTTTTGTTATATTCCATGGAATGCTCTTAACATCCCGATAGCAATGAATATCTTAAGTGCTTTGACAAAAAATCCATAAAAAAATGTCATCTGTGGAAGCCGTAATACTGTAAAAAGTACGACCAATCATTTTAGCCGGCCCGGCTAAAATAACTGGATGGCCTACCTGCCTGTCAGCCTTCCATCTGTGCACAAACTTATCTCGTGCCCTCATTGGTCATGTGCGCGTTCGTGTGTGTTGGAGGAGGGGCTCTGTAAGGAAGTGGCAGATTTTTTCCGGTTGTGTATTTTCAAATTCTAGCGCACTCGAGCTGGTTTCTCCAGAATTACCTACCCCACCTTTAAGTCTTTTACTGGTAAAATAAATTGTAATATCAGAGTTCAAGTTATGCAGCCCAAGTATGTTCAACACAGCAGATTTGTTTAATTCTAGCCTATTTGCGTATAAAATGACAAACATATCTAAGGTTGTACAACCAATATCTCGCGGTGTCTTTTTTTAGGATTGAGCTTCAAATATTTATCTTATTGTAAGCATAATTATATAAAGTATGTTGAATTTATGAATAAATGTAACCAGCTGTTTCTGTTTGCCTCTCCAGGTTAGCGGGGGAGATGAACATGCCCTCCCTTCCAGAGATGCTGTTTGGGGACAACATCCTGCGCATCCAACACAACGACGGCTACGGCATCGAATTCAACGCCATCGATGCCCTCCGGAGAGTCAACAACATGGAGGACGCTGTGAAGGTGGCCTGTGCTCAGGAGTGGCAGGAGAGCAGGTAAATGAGACTGACAGCTGGAGAACGGTTTTGTTCAAATTCTATATGACAAAACTTTATTCTTTTTCAATGCAGATTTCTTTTTTTACTAAAAACATGTTTTTTAGAACTCTAAGGTTCGCTCCTGCAGAATTAATTACTGTCTGTTAATTGACCATTTATTAGCGCAATCGAGACAGTAATCTGTGGCCTTTTCACCAGTAGAACTCTTCTCAAAAACCACTTGGGAGTTTTCAAAACTGCCCACAGCTCGCCCTTAGCCAGCTGTGGGTACATTTCTATCAAACACTTCATCAGATCTTATTCCTCTTTTCACCCGCTGTCTGAAACCAGAGCAGAGCATTCTGATCTGTTATGATTGGTCAACCGCTTAGAGAATTTTCGGGAAAGTCCCGCCCCCTTACGTACAATGTGTTGGAGCCCTAGCAATTATAAGCGTGAGTGTTACATAGTGATGTCATTATGTTACTGAAGTAAACAAAGGAGTCAAAAGGAGTTGTTTCAGGCAGGGGGGAGAGAAACTCCCTCTGGAGGGGATACAGGGATTTTAGCCTTTGCAGACCATTTAGATCAGGGGTATTCAACTCAAATTCAACGAGGTCCAGTTAGAGAAAATCTCCCCATGCAAAGGTCCGGAACATCAAAATGTCTAAGTTGCTTTATGAATTAGTGTGATATATATTGAAGTAGCCTGTAGCTTTATCAACGTCTGCATGTAATCAACAACTGACTGCCAATCAAATAAAGAAAGTACAATTCAAAAACAACAATATTTATTGTCAATTAACATTGAACTATAGAGATATACAGTAAATACTGTGGATATGTGTAATGTTCCTCTCGGGCTGCATTTATAATATAAATTAAAATAGATAAATAAATAAAATAGCTTTGTTAACCGTTTCACATCATTACTTAACAGTTTCAGACGATTATAGAACATATCAGTCTTTACACATCATAACAATTGAACAGTTTTAAAGTTTCTCTTTCTTTCCCTCTTATATTGCAGTCCCTCACTCATTTTTTTGTGTTCAGTGCGAGAATTGAGCTTGAGCTTGTCCTGCCAGGAGTTTAAATCTGGGCTGAAATGGTGTCAGGGCCATTCTCATACACACATGCAGGTGCTCATTGGTTAGCCTCGGTTAGCCTGCCCTGGAACCATATTTAGTTTTAATTTTGATCCTGGTGGACTGATCATATTGGGCTCTGAGACTGCTTATTTTTTGTGACCTCAGTTCTGACTTGAGAGGGAATGTTTGGTCAAACACTTTGTTTTGTCTCATAGTGGCGTTTTGGCACTTTTAATCAGGGTTGGGAGGGTTACTTTGTAAATGTAATCGGTTACTGAATACATGGCTCTGAAAGTAATCCGAATACAGTTAGAGTTACGTGTCTTAAAAAAGTAACGTATTCAGATTACTTTTAGAAGACTTTTGGAATACTTTATTTTTCCATAACAGATGGGTATGTTTTGGTGAACAGGAGACACTTATTTTACTGTTTTAATGGCTTATCAAGAGCACAACTCAAACACAACATCTTGGTGTCATTCTGGACAGCTCCCTCTCATCTGCACCCCACATAAAAAACATCACCCGGACTGCATTATTTGTACTCTCTTAAACCTTTCCTTAGAATATGTTATGAATTGTCAGGTGTCCTTGGGTGCTTTGAAAGGCGCCCCTAAATAGAATGAATTACTATTATTATTTATTATCTGAAACGACGTAATAACTTTTAAAACTGTTTCCAGTCACTTGCCCCATGCATTCAGCAGCAGCAGGCCATTCACTTTGATTTGATCCCGTTATGAAATGTCATCATTTCGACAATAAAGAAATGCTACATAAACGTTATCTTGCACATTTTATCGAACCATCTCCGTTTCTATATATTTTAAAAGAGATCTCTCTCTCTGATCTGCGTGCGGGGGCGGGGCCTCACAGACATGCTGCAGCGCTGTGCAGTGTGCACACCAGTGGCGTCGCCTGGCCTGGTCATCCGGGGCTTTAGCCCCGAATGTTTTTTCTGTAGCCCCGGACAATTCTCCCTCAATAATATAATACATTAACCGTGCTTTACGTGAACCTCATCATGACACAAGAGAGGACGGCAGCACTGTAATTTCCCGTGTTCAGTGAATGCAACAGAGGCATGACACCAGAACAATCAGAGAGTTGCATGGAAATAAACGTGTGCTTGTGTCATTCAAGCTCGGCTCTGTGTGTGTGTGTGGCAATAGCGCATTTAGTGTGATAGGGAGAGAGAGAGAGAGAGAGGGGGAGGGAGGGACCGGTGCCAGCATGGACCGTGTTGTTACACTAACGGACATAAGGAGCTGTTTGTTCCACAAGAAACTGGAGGAGAGTCCTCTCCTCTCAGACTAATACCCCTTTCACACCAACGGTGTTTCAGGGCCGGTTCGGTGCTGGTGCTTGAAAAGCACCGGGTTTTCCTGTTCACACCGCAGCGGAGCAGCCTCTAAGCTCCGGAATCCGGTTCGTTTCGAGCACCAAAAAGTTGTCCGTCTAGAAGCAAGAACCGCATACGTCACGCTTACGTCGGAGGGGGGCGAGATTAACCTGAGATAACAGTTAAGGCGAGTACGGCAAATAAAAGTTGTAACAAGCAGTAGTGCTGAGCAAAGTGACTAGAACGCAACCACACACTTGTTAAAAAAAAAACACACTTTATAAAGTCAGGCAACACTAACCAGGCTTCGTGTGATTCTGTTTATTTGTACCTTACTTTGACCATCCGTTCGCTGTTATTGATCATTGTGGAGAGCAGGCAGACGTTTTGTTTGTTATTATAGCAGCTATCGGATGGAATCAATACATGGGCTGCACAGGTTGTCATGTCCGACTATCACAAGTAGAATCATAATGAAAAATACGTCGGTAAAAAGTGCCTGTAGAAAACTGCTTAGCAAGTAGTCAGTTTAGCTTCGGTTGCTATGCTAACATCACCCATGTTATACCAGAGAAACTTTCATAACAGCGTTGTGATGCCAAACAGCGTCAATTCAGACTGACACACATTCACTTAAGGGGAACTGGGGATATGTAACAGCTGCTTGTGTGACAGTCAGACAGTGAATACTTTAGAGCCGTGGGAGCTAACCCGGAGCTAACGTGAGAATAAACTCCCGTGGAAGAGCAGCCAGCACTGCAGCGGTCGGTAAATGCCGCTGAAACACATTAATAAACAATGAACCACGGCACTCTGGAGAAAAGTATAAGGTTGGAGAAGTCGTTATTTAATTTAATCTGGCTTCGTATGATTAAAAGCAACGCAGTCCCCGGCCCGTTGTTGTGAGGTGAGCTCCGGCGTTGGGGAGAAACTCAGCGACGTAAACTGTGACGTCATGACGCAGCAGCGGCAGCACCAGTCGGGCTCTGAGCGGTGTGAAAAGAGCCGGCGCTAAACCGAAGAACCGGTTCTGAACCAGAAAAGCTCTAGCACGGAGCTTGAACCGGAGTTGCGTTGGTGTGAAAGGGGCATGAGAGACTCAGGTGAGCTAAAGGACTCTCTGAGTGTTTAGATACATAACTTTAGTCTAAGTTATCTCAGTGGGTCTCAAACGGTTTGGTCACAAATTATTCAAAAGATTATTTCCGCGGCACACCTTCATATGATCATTATAGTTATACAAAAAATAAGAGAATAAAGGAAAAACAGTTATGAAATACTATATGGCAGTAAAACAAGAATAGAGTTTAAAAGGGGAGTGATTAGTAAAATATCCATAAAGAAAAAGTACATCTGTTTACAGTTCTGCTTCATATGGGTGTTGAGAGAGGTATCCATAGATCTCTTCATTTTGCTCTCAAAGTGCACCAGATTGATGCATTTAACTTCAATATTTAAAAAAAAGTCTTCCCGGGGGAGCATCCCCCCGGACCCTCCTAGAGGAGGTAAGCCCCCCACTCATAAAAAATACCACTTTACCCCTGCCTATATGCCGTGAGCTGATTATCGAGCCTTCATTGTAACAGTCGCGGGTGTACTGTGTGTGTGCGTGTGGGGAGTGTTGCAGTGAAAAATGCCACTGTAGTGCCGCCGCCACTGTGGGCTAAGACCCGAATGTTTTCAGGTCCAGGCGACGCCCCTGGTGCACACAGTTCTGCTGCTTTTATGAGGAAACTTTTCCACCAATAATTCCAAAAAGTATTCCAAAATGTATTCACATTCACCGCTTCTCTCCCTGTATCGCTAATAATTATTCTCTTCACTCACTTTCCTCTCCTCTTCTCTCTGCCACTCTCTCGTCTCTTCTTCTGTGTTTCTCCCCCTGTATCGCTCACTCGTCTCTTTAGCCCCCTGTCGGCGGCGGTTAAAATAGAATCGCCCCGTCAAAATTGAAATCCCCTATTAATGTATTGATTATAGGTCCGGGTCCGTATAGGTCGGCGTCTGGGTCCGGATCCGGACCGCGGTCCGCCTATTGCCGACCCCTGATTTAGATGCACAAGCTCCTCCTGTGGTACACGTTTTGTGTCTGTCCTCATTTTTGCAATCGTTGACACATGTCTGTTCATGCCTTGATATTGACGTGACTCCAGTCACTAAGATGATCACTAAAATAAATGTTACACACCAACCATTGAAACAAGTTTGATACCAGCATGTGATCGCAGGCAGTTTTGTTTCATTATTGAAAGAGATTAGCTGTCATATTGGAGTAGGGATTTACACGTATGATGTGATTTAAAATCTAGAATTCTAAAGAAAGCCATAACATATGTAATAGAATAGCTAATGTGTGCAGGTTTGGAATTGAAATACAAAGTAAAAGACATGTACAGCCATTCATTCCCAGAGACAGAAATAATCGGAGCTGTGTAGTTAACGTTAACCTCTGTGGTTTCCTTTCAGGGCGGATTCTGAACACTCCAAAGAGGTGGTGAGACCCTACGACTGGACCTACACCACAGACTACAGAGGCACTCTCATAGGAGAGAATATGCAGATGAAGGTGGGTCATTTTCAGCCTTGGAATGGAACACAGTTTCATCAACACCTCAGTGATGTGGACCCCTACCTTGAGTTGTGTCCCGCTCCTCCCCCCACTGTTTTTCATGTCTCTGTTTCCTGTGCAGGTAGTGAAGACGGAGGAGCGGATCGACATGGAGAAGCTGAAGGCTCGGGAACAGATCATGTTCTTTGACGAGGTGCTGCTGTTCGAGGACGAGCTGCACGACCACGGCGTCTCCATGATCAGCGGGAAAATTGTGAGTAATAGAACACCAACAAATACAAAAAGAAAGAAAATAAATGTCATACAAGTACAAATACACACAATAGAATTGACTACAAACTTGTTTTGTTATCGTTTTTATGCTAGGAATACATATTATTTGTTAACTGAACTAAAGTCAATATTAGAATTGGTGATTTATATAATTTTGTGTAACAAGTTTGTAATTTATTTCTAAACTAAACTTGAATTGTTGATGAGAAATTATACTAACAAGATTTGGGTTCCGTCCATTCCATATTTGAACCCCAATGGTTGTCCAACAGCTCCTTCGACACAGTGTTTGTTTGCCTAGTTAGGTACTCGCTGACCTTCATTTGGAGGTATTTAACAGCTCATAAGGACCAGATTTAGTAACAGAAAAAAGATGGTAGATTTCAGCCCCAGTCTGTGTAACCTGCAGCCCTTCGTTAATTACGGGGAGTTTCACTGAGAGCCACAGAACATCACAGTTACTCACAATCAGACCTGAAGCCTGCCCACAATGCAGCCAGCTACTGAAACCTCCAAGCAGGTGAATTCTGGGAGTGAGGGAGAACTCGGCAGGCACAGTTAAGTGGTGGGATTTGTCTAGAACACAAGGGCTAGGGTTGAACTATCAAAATCCACTTTTTCCTTAACATCAGTGAAAAACACAGTGGTGTTAGGGGAACATGTCAGGATCCAACTGTCTTACACTATGTATTTATGATGCAACCTCTGGTGTTGCTGATGTTACTGTGCTGTGTAAAACTACACGTTTCAATTGATGGGCTACTAAAAGTGCATCTGGGTTCTTATAGTGTTCTTTCATGTGTTCTTTATAAACATGAAGAAAAAGATAAACGGACAATATTGTATTACTTCATGACCAAGGTTTGAATGCCCACACTCACCCTCCTGTCACTGTGTAGTGTTGACTTCATTGCAAGTAATTAGTGTAACATTCATTGTTCGCACACACAGGTTACGGCATAAGAAAATGATTAATAAGCATCCTAACTCACATGATCCACTGTGTTTGTCGGTAATGATCAGCTGTTTACGTAAACAATAAATGATATGTTACTTTATGTTGCAGCTGCAATGAATTGTGGGACAGCATTATCTCCTTTCCTTTTGTGAAGTATGGTCCAGTGTATCCTAAGCTAAAGGACATACAAAGGAGGCACTGAAGTAGGGCTGTGCGATTATGGCAAAAATCATAATCACGATTATTTTGGTCAATAATTGATATCACGATTATTAAATACGATTATTCATTGACTTTGAAAACATCCATTTATTGAACTTTAAAACAAATACAAATAATAATTTGAACAGTATCTTTTTAACTGTTGATTTCCCTGAACGTATAATTCAACTGAAAAACCAATACAAAAATAAATAAAATAAATGAGACATTTAAATAAATAATATCAAAATAATAAATACCAATAAACAAGATCAACAAATATTTTGGAGCGCACTTCAATAAGCTACTAAACATATATAAATATGATAAATACAAATACATTAGATCCAATATGTTGCAGTGCACTGTCACAACCTAGCAAAGCAAAAGAATCGTTTTTTTCGATTATGTTGTTTTCGTAATTGTGGCAGGCCAAAATCGTAATTGCGATTAAAATACGATTAATTGCACAGCCCTACACTGAAGCTTCTTTTCCTATCATCTATAGAATGGATCAGCCCTTAGCATGGCTGCCACTCACTTTCCTGATCATTTCACTCTGTAACCTTCCTGAGAGAAAAAGATCAGAAAAGGAATGATGATCCTCCTAACTGACTCTTGTTTCTATGTTTCTTTAACATACTGTATCATGATATGATGATTTGAACCCATTTGACCTTTGTAAGGTGTTGCTGTGTGTTGTTGACAGAGGGTGATGCCCACCAGTTTCTTCTTGTTGCTGCGTTTCTTCCTACGAGTGGACGGAGTGCTGATCAGAATAAACGACACACGACTGTATCATGAGGTACGTCTACTTCCTCCAGCCAGGGTACACTGCATGGTTTTATAATGGGCAAGGCGTATCATTTAAATGTGGTTCAAGTGATATACTTTATATATAAGTGTTTATATAGAAAGTTCTACACCATACACATGTTATATATTATAGTACAATTTGCACATTTTTATTTAAACTTTTTATATGTGCCTTATTTCAATTTGAATTAAATACATTTGTTTTCTCAACATTCTACACATTATACCCCATAATGACAAAGTGAAAAAAGTTTTAAAATAATTTTTGCAAATGAATTAAAATTAAAACACTCAAATATCACATGCACATAAGTATTCACACCCTTTACTCAATACGTTGTTGAAGCACCTTTGGCAGCAATTACAGCCTCAAGTCTTCTTGAGTATGATGCTACACGCTTGGCACACCTATCTTTGGGCAGTTTCTCCCATTCATCTTTGCAGATCGTCTCAAGCTCCATCAGCTTGGATGGGGAGCGTCGGTGCACAGCCATTTTCAGATCTCTCCAGAGATATTCAATCCGGTTCAAGTCTGGGCTCTGGCTGGGCCACTCAAGGACATTCACAGACTTGTCCCGAAGCCACTCCTTTGTTATCGTGGCTGTGTGCTTAGGGTCGTTGTCCTGTTGAAGGGTGAACCTTCGCCCCAGTCTGAGGTCCAGAGCGCTCTGGAGCAGGTTTTCATCAAGGATCTCCCTGTACATTGCTGCATTCATCTTTCCCTTGATCCTGACTGGTCTCCCAGTTCCTGCCGCTGAAAAACATCCCCACAGCATGATGCTGCCACCACCAGGCTTCACTGTAGGGATGGTGTTGGCCAGGTGATGAGTGGTGCCTGAGTTCCTCCAGACATGATGCTTGGCATTCAGGCCAAATGTTGTTTCATCAGACCAGACAATTTGGTTTCTCATGGTCTGAGAGTCCTCTAGGTGCTCCATGGGGGCTTTCATGTGCCTTTTACTGAGGAGTGGCTTCCTTCTGGCCACTCTACCATAAAGGCCTGATTGGTGGAGTGCTGCACAGATGGTTTTCCTTCTGGAAGGTTCTCCCATCTCCACAGAGGAACACTGGAGCTCTGTCAGAGTGACCATCATTGGTCACCTCTCTGACTAAGGCCCTTCTCCCCCATTGCTCAGTTTGGTTTGGGCGGCCAGCTCTAGGAAGAGCCCGGGTGGTTTCAAACATCTTCCATTTGCAAATGATGGAGACCAATGTGCTCGTTGGGACGTTCAATGCTGCAGACATTTTTCTGTACCCTTCCCCAGATCTGTGCCTTCATACAATCCTGTCTCTGAGGTCTACAGACAATTCCTTGGACCTCATGACTTGGTTTGTGCTCTGATATGCACTGTCAACTGTGGGACCTCATATAGACAGGTGTGTTCCTTTCCAAGTCATGTCCAATCTATTGAATTGACCACAGGTGGACTCCAGTCAAGTTATAGAAACATCTCAAGGATGATCAGTGGAAACGGGATGCGCCTGAGCTCAATTTTCAGTGTTAAAGCAAAGGGTGTGAATACTTATGTACATGTGATATTTCATTTTATTATTTTTAACACATTTGCGAAAAATTCTTTAAAAACGTTTTCTATTTGTCATTATGGGGACATGTGTGGAATGTTGAGAAAAATAAATAATTTAATCCATTTTGAAATAAGGCTGTAACATAACAAAATGTGAAAAACGTTAAGGGGTATGAATACTTTCCGGATGCACTATATCAATATTCTTTATTCAGTTTTTTTTTAATCTTTTATTAGATATCTTACTTTTTCTGTTGATATATTTCTATCATTTCTATTTTATTAGAGTAACTGTCATAAAACCCAGTTTACTGTGTCTGATTATCCACACTCACAAGTGAATACATGGGGATTGTGTTTCTGATTCCAGGCCGGAGCGAGTTACATGCTACGAGAGTTCAGCACGAGAGAAAGTAAAATAGCAGACTTGAAGGTGAGTTGTGACACGACACTGGTAAAAAAAGCTGGCCATGTCTCATGGTGATCATTTATTAAAGGGTCTATGCCCCTAGCTTTCTATATGCCATCACTCCTTTTTTGAATCCTGCTATCATTACAGTGTATTTTCCTGTCTCTTACTTTGCTCGTCTTACACATAGTCCGTATTGAACAGTGGAACCTGCATAGAATATCTTAAAGTCCTTCTGTTTATCATTGTAAAGCTAACACTATAATCACAGCGAGTCACACGACACTGAGGACCACATCTTTTCACCTTCACATTGAATCATGGATAGTTCCACCACAAAAAGCAAAGAAAGAGATTTAACTAAGGGATAATCTACGAAGAGGCGGTCATTAGCAACGGTTATAACTTTGCTTGGCAGCGGTGTGTTATCGAGTATTAACAACCTCTGAAATGTCCAAATTGACCAATCAGAATCGAGTAGCATTGTTTTTTTATTCAATAAATCAATGTTATATGTTTTCTTACCAAGCCTTTCTGTTGCCATCACATTTGTTGACATACCCTATATAGGATGTGGGGGAAAAGATCCTATTTAATCATTTTCTAAATAATCTTTCAAGGAAAATAAAGATTTAATTAGTTTCATCTTTATTTTAAAATTCCATTTAAGTTGACTCTTTTTCCATCATTAATCTTGACATAGTGGTTAACCATTTAATACACCTGTACAATCTGATGCAATCCTATACAACAATACATCAAACCTTTACATAAATAATACTGTGCAGTTCTGAATGACTCTGTCACACAGTTTAAATATATTATAGGGTGTTGAACTGGAGGCATCCTAATGTTTTGTAATTCCCACAATCATGAGGGTTGAAGAATTATTATCTTTGTAAAATTAGAATTAGTTTATATTTTACGTTGTCATTGGAATGTACATACAAAAGAAAACTCTGTACCTTACATTTGTCTAAATCCTGCCTTTGCTACACTATTTGCATAAAAACGTTCTACATCACCATTTATTTATATAAAAAACATCATTTTGGGAATGAAAATAATTGTTCAATTTAAATGTCACCTTTAGTTATCAGCCGATTCGATGCAAAGTCTTAGGCTGCAGCCACACGAGGACGATAACGCAAACGGACCACAATTGTTATCAAAAAAGTATTCCGTCCACACGCAACAGGCACCAGAAACGTGTCCGTTCACACGAGACCGCTCCAAAGCGCTGGAGACGCTGTAGTACATATGCCAGGCCTGTAAGTGGCGCTGTACTCCTTCCACAAAAGCAGCGAAGAAGACTTCCCGCGCATGGTTGCCATGGTTGCCCTTCTGTTTATTCTCCGCTGTGGATGCTCTGGCTCTTTTTCTCCCTCCCCGAGGCAAGCGTTTGCTCTTGCTGTAATTCTCTCCGGTAGTCCACCAGCAGATGAAAAACACCCACCTCTCCGCCTCTTCCAAGGGACGAGGGGATCCTGCGGCAGAGTTTCAGTTCGATCTTTTTCCGCCGGTCAACATGTCCGTTAAAGTTGAAATCTTCCGGACAAAATTAGAAAAGTGCCGGTAAAAGGTCTTCTTTGTTATTTATTGAGCTTTAAAACAAATTGATAACGACTCTATATAATAATATAATAATAAAAAACGGAGCCTCTCTTTTCCTCCCCCTCTTCTGAGAGCCCAGCAGCTCATCTCTGAGCAGGAGAGGTGGGGAGAGGCGGGGCTATTGCTTCAACGTTATCAGGACATGATCGTATAGGCGTAAACACGGAGCCATTTGCCCCCCCAGAGCGTTTCGTTTGCAGATCTACCCACCTTGGGACCCGTTATCGTTATCGTTTTCTGCGTTTCCGTGTCGGCCTTGTGTGGCCGAACTGTCTATCTGATAGTGAACTGTAGCAGATACGACCGTTATCGTCCTCGTGTGGCAAGCACCTTACAGACTGTGTATAGAGTTGTGAAGGAATGAGTCCTAAAACCTAAAAATGAGTTAGCATTTGACCACTTCCGATTCCCTTGTCTCAAGGTATACAGTTTTTTTAACGTGTTTATGTTCACCTTTTGTTCTACGACATCAAACACATCAGTTAACACACCACTAGTGAATGCCCTAAGCTTCAATGTATCATAAAAACAGTGGTAGCTAACAAGTGACTAAATGAGACTACTGCCATTAGCGGTGGTGATGGGCAGCCATGTGAACGTGATGTACTTTGTTTAAAGCTTAAGTTTTTCTTTTTACTTCTGTGGAGAAAGGTGTAAGTATCATTAACATTTGTTGGCCAGAGATTTTATTTTCAGCATTATTCCGAAATCCAATGAAAATAATCCATTGCTTTTTGCCAAGGTAGTCTTCGCCATCACTTTATTTAAACTGTTAATTTATTGAAGCTTCCTACTGTATGATGTGCTGCATTTCTTGTAGTCATTTGAAAGTGTCCCTCCCTCATCAGAATGTTCCCGCTGCACTGTACACGGATCCTAATGAGATCGCCCAGCACCTAACACTGAAGCTGACGGATTGTGAGAAGCTGGAGCTGCCTGCGATGTCGCCTCAGAGAGCTGTTAATGACGTCCAGTGACCGCCATACTAATATGTCACATTGATGTGTTGCATGATAACAAATTGAAATAGTAGTCTTAACCCACATTCTTCCTGGTTACATAACAAACATCCCCTTCAAATATCTGTACAGGAATAGTTTTTATATGTGCCACTATGATGGTCCTTAAACTCCTGCCACTTGTTTCAGTGTTCACAGTGCAGCGTGATGCACTATAATATCAAGGAACCTTTAACCCTAGTTAAATACTTTGGTCCAGCTTCTGACTGTTCATATTTGAACTGGTTTTGTTTTATGATACATTTTTTCACTGCCTTTGACATGAAAAGGCTTGCTAGTGTAGCTGTCTCATGCTTGTAATATCAGTATATCAAAAATGTGTTTGTACAAAAAGCGACACAAACAGCACTGTATTTTCTGAAGTCAGTCATGAAGAATTTCTGTAAATATGTCTACTGTATTTTCTACGGTGACTTATAGAACTTAAACAAGTGTGTTCTCCATTCGCAGTCCAACACCTTCAGGATCTCTGTGAATATGTCTCCCATATGGCCAAATATACATTTGTCTGTGTACAAATATCTGGCTTGCTTTGCTGATGCTGGATTCTTGTTTTCTTTTTACAATGTTTGTGATGTTTGACAAAATGCATTTCTACCAGTAATCATTATTTTAATGAATCTCCACATTCAATGCAAATAGATTTTCATTGTTATTTTGTAGATTTGACCTGCGTTTAGTTTCACTTTAGAATCAGAATGGACCATGAAGCAAAATGAGGAAATGTAGTGATATCAAATGTTTTTAATTTAATGAGGAATTGCTAATAAATACTATATATGAATATAGGGTTAATCATCCAACAGGATAATTCATTTGAGCGAGTATAGTGACAAAAAGACAGAATAGGACGGGTTTTTTTAAAACACAAGAAAGAAAGAACTAGAGGGAGAGATGAACTAACACATTGCGGGTTTGGGTCTTTTCTATGGGTCGGGACAAAACAACTTCAGAACAATGTCAACCATGGTGCATAACTCAATAAATTCCATGTTTTGTGTGTAGAAAAAACACATGTTTGTGTTGTATGTCCATGTTTCTGTGAATGAAGTTCTTATAAAGTTCTGCATTAAGGCTTGGTGCTGTTTTTGATTGTTGGTGTTTAACTCTAGGCTCGTTTTTATCTGAGGGGCAAAAATGATGATTTCTACAGTGTTTTCTTTAAAGGTTAAACATTAAGGTGTCAGTGTGGACAGAGGAAGTAGGCTGCCCTCTTGTGTCACAGAGAACCATGATTGAATTACAGGTCAGAGCTCAACCATTCTGACTCCAACCACTAGATATTATATTTGAGTTTGGACAGAAAGGAGCTTCAAGGGAACAAAATCTGAGACTGAAAGATTCATGCTTTTTTTTGGTCCTTTTTGGACTTCTTGGGTGTCATGGGTCAGAAATAACAAAACTGGGAATGACTACCCCACTATGCACTTGTATTTGTGACTTTCCCACAAACTGACCCTGCTGAACACCAGAGGCCTAACCCTAACCCTAACCATGATTGGCCGGATTTCTAACAAACAAGAGACTTTAGGAAATCAACAATTTTGCTCAATTTAAGCAAAACCAATCCACTGATCATTGATTTAGGAAAATAGGAAAAGACACACACTCCTGTCGTATACATCAGTGGAGCTGAAAAAGAGCAAGTGAACAGATTTAGTACCTAGAAATCAGCATCTAAAACAACGAACAAAACCACAATACATGGTCATCACATGTCTGCATCCTAGTGAAGGAAACTCCCCAACCACAGCCAGTTCCCTCTGCTACTTCCTGCCAAGAGATACAGAAGTAGGCTATCTGCTGTCCTACCACCAGACAACAGAGTAGTTTATTTATTCAGCAACTCATCCTCCATGTTCACTATAATAACAAGTTATGTTTTTTGATGTCTTTTGTAGCTTATAGGCATACAATTATATGTTGGCGTGACCCTGTGTTGTACCAAGGCAAAAATGAACCTTGAACCTCAAACCAAGTCAGAGTAAAGCAAGGCATAAAACATTAGAGTGCAGCAATACTCAAACACAGAACCCACAAAAGATGAACTGGAAGATAGTATTTTAAAAAACTAAAAAAAGAATTGTAAATTATTGTGGTTTTGTAGCTTGAGTAGCAGTTGTTTGGAGTTAAGATTCAAGTCTCGAAGAGCAGGGTTCAATTCCCGACAGAAACAAATACCCACACCGGTGTAAAAGCTAAAAATGGTCATTCAAAACATAAAAATGGAATGTGCTGTTATATACAGTAATCCTAAACAAATTGTTTTGTATGCTGTTTAGTTGAATTAAAACAATCCGCCTACCGCGTTTTTAAGTGTTCAATTGATGAAATACACTTTGTTAATAAAGTTGTTTTGAAAAAAATGTAACCATTCCACAATGAGTGGAAGCCGCAGAGCCGTCCAATCAGCTTCCTCCATTCATGACAGCTGGCCAATGACAGAGCCCGCATCAGGCTGGAAACTATTCAACATGGAGGCCACAGTTGATAAACTAGAGGCGATGGTAAGCTCAGTGTAAAACTATTATATTTTCCCTTGTATTCATCTTGTGAAATTGCTTTTAATCCTTGTTAACGATCTCAGAGACGTTTAGCATCTCGTTATATCCGAGGAGTTATTACTCCTCCCACAGTAAGAGCAGGCGGGTCATGATTTTCTCTTTGTATTAAAAAACAATTCAAACACATTTGCGCCATTCAGCTGCCTGTCTAAGTGCAGTACATTTCACAACCTTGTTTATTAAAACCTCCATTTCACTAGCTAACTGTTGCTGTTATTGCGTCGGGCGTAAGCCAAAAAAGATGCTTTGTGAAATCGTTTCCCAGCTCTGCTGTTTTCAACATGTAATAACATGGCCACCATTAAAGCAGCGGTCAGTGAACACAACTGGCCGCAGACTGACTGAAACAGGGCGCGTTCAGGAACACTCATTTCACTACAGCTTATACATATATGTATTTCATGTTTCTACGATAATACTTGTAAGCAGTGGTGAAATGTTACTGAGTACATCTACTCAAATGCTGTTCTTAAATAAAAAATGTAGGTACTTTTACTTCAGTATTTTCACACTATGCTACTTCATTATTTTACTACACTAGGTAGGCAAATACTGTACTTTCTACTCAATTACATTTATTTTACAGATTTAAATTATTAATAAAAAATAGAAATCAGCTTATACATGATCATTTATTATTATTTAAGTTGTTAAGCTACACAATAGTATATAAAGTAATTCAAATAAACCCCTCTTTAATATAAAGATTACAAATATGACAAGTATTCTTACTTTTGGTACTATATTCTGTTACTAATACTCTTTTTACTTAAGTACATTTTAGATGTAGGAGTGTTTTTTCACTGTATTTCTACTTTTACTTACTAGTAAATAATCTGAGTACGTCCACCTCTGCTTGTAAATTACTCCTTTTTAATGACTCTAGGACTTACAATGTGTTTTGGTGTTTGGTTGAGGTTGTAGGGGTGTTTGGGCCTCTCACATATATGACACACTCACAACTCACTGAGGTTAATCTTCTGTCTGTCCAGTGCCTCTTTTACTGTACGGCTGCTGGCCCTGCAGAAATGGTTACAAGCGAGGGAGCGTTCTACACACTTGAGCTGTTGGCAGGTGCTCTGACTTCATTGCACTACTGTATCAGACAGCTAGCAGTGCAATAGTATTGTCAAAGCATCTGAAAACTGCAGAGAGCAGCTGCACCATAACATTAGCCGCGTTCACACCGGAGTACTTTCACCGTACTTTTCGCGTTTTAGTTCCGTGAGTACCCCTTATGTCGCGTTCACACCAAAAATCGTACTTAATCTCGGGTACTTTTACCCCCATTTTTAGAGCCAGCTCAGAGAGCGTACTTTTCTGTGGGTGAAAAGTGCTCCAAAAGTTCCCCAGTGCTGATTGGCTGGGCGAATTGCAAACCACGCCCGTACAACTCTGAAAATGTTGTGTGGAGACGCCATTGTTTTTCCTCGCTACAAAAACACAACGCTCCGTGCGTTGTGTTTGTTTTTGAAAGCAGTTATGGCAAGCATCAAGAAATGATGAGGAGGTGTCGGCGCTTCTGGAGATCTACGCCGAGGAGGCGACCCAGGGAATGCTACTGAAGCCAGTTCGGTAGCTTTCACTCGACCTGGGAATTGTGCACAGCCGGCTAAATATAAAGAAACTCAGGACTACAAACGGCGGATTCAGTGGCCAACGATGACTACCACGATGAAGGTAAAATCAACTACATGCACTGGGGTTTTAATCTGCACAATAATGGTCTCAGATGTACTTTTATTTGCTCAGTAGATCAAGCTAGCCATGCTAGCCATAATAGGCTAACACCGGCCCCGGCTAGCTACATCTAGCTAGCTAGATATTCTCCGCTGTATGAAAACGTTTTGACTTGTGAATAACTGTGCAGTGTTTCTGTAATTTGCTTCACTAACTCATGGCACTAATCGTCTGTTTCAGGCGAGGATGGACAACTCTCGGGATTGGAAACAAGTGAGCTTTGCATTCTAGATCACAGCGCTTTGTCGTCCTCCTTACCAGCAACCAAACGCAAAGGTACACACACTGTAACTTTGTCTTGAAAGAACGTTACGCATCGAACTGATGTTCACAATCATGTTTATTTCATAATATTCATCATATTTTATGTTTAACTTGCCTCAACAACATTAAACAAAGTTCAAGCATACATGAAGCACTCTTCAAAAAGGAACAATCCTCCGTGTTTGAACCTCTTAAATCGCTGCATAGCCGATTTATTTGGACTGGATTATCCCAGAGAGGCCAAACATTCTTTATAACACAGTTTCAGATTTGTGAAACCTTAATTCTATTTGTGAAAATACAAAAAAGGGAGATTTCAGTGCTTTTTTTACATGTAGACCACATTAGACCAGGTCCTGATCTAAAACTACTATACCTAGACTCATCAAATCTGGACTGGATTATCCCAGAGAGGCCAAACATTCTTTATAACACAGTTTCAGATTTGTGAAACCTTAATTCTATTTGTGAAAATACAAAAAACACATTCCTAGTATGTTGTAAAACTACATGGCGACTAAACTTGTATATTGTATTTTGCTTATTTTCCCCTCTTAGGAAAGCGGACACGGGATGCGAATTTCTTTGACACCGCCCAGGCGTTGGAGGACCGGCGTGCCGTGGTGAATGAGTCGCTGCGTGGAGATCAGATGGTGCTGTTCACCAAGGCCCAGGAAACGGAGGACAAGATGCTCACCTCGATGGAGCGCCAGGCAGCAGATGGAGCGCCAGCAGCACCAGGATGAAGTGTGGGCGCTGCGCCATGAGGAAGCGTCGGCGCAGCGGCAGGATGAGCGACAAACTGCATTTAATAACAGTTTATTTGGTATAGTTTTTGTAAATACTGACACACGACACACAACGTTGCACTAAGGTGTGCATGCTGCTGGGAATATCCCTACACCTGGGACAGTTTATTTTATATTGTTATTACTGTTATGACTTTATTTTATATATAATGTTTACTGACATGTACAACTGACACTTTATTTACATTTAAAATTGTTCTATTTAATGTTATGTCTTGAGAGTGCAATAAAGAAAACCGACATGGCGATTAAGCTTATTTCTCCTGACACTTTATCTTTTGTGACCTGTGTAGCATCCTATACATCACATGTAAGTGATTATTCTGATACCATCATGTTTCATCGGTTATAAACTGGCAAAGCTTTATTTGTCATTTATTTATCATCAATGTTGCAACCTTGTGGGGGAATGGCAGGGGCACATACACAAATATGACAATTTATATAATTTTAAATATTATTTGACCTAAACTTTTAATTCCCCCCATTTCACACAACACAACATGGAGTCCACTATGGGCCAAAACTAACATGTATGTTTGCATAGTGTTTATGGCAGACGGATGCAGTGGGTCTCAGGAAGATATATAATAAAGGTGGGTTTGCTGCTGAGACTCCCTACAGCTGGGAGTTTATTTTATATTGTTATTACTGTTATTATATAGTACAACTGACACTTTATTTTATATTGACAATG